GCGTCATGTTGACCGCTCACCCCCTTTGTGCACCGGAGCGGCTTTCGTGGATACTCGCGAACAGCACTTGCCCCAACAGCCTGTTAAGGGCTATAAGGGTGATATTTGTCTTTGTGTGTTTATACTGCCAGTCAAAAGCATAAATTCACGAATGTTTGGGTCCCGAGATCACAGCGGTACTTAAACTCGCTCTGACGTGGTCACGAATTCCTTGCTTGAATTGTTACTTTGTCGTTTTGCCCAATTGAATTCCAGTCGAGCCCACGCGGAGCTCCGGCAGTAAAAGCCTCGGCATTGCGTCACCCGCGTTGGACAACGCCCCGCGGAATGAGAAGTCGCGGAACCGCTTCTGATAACATTCCTTGCAATGACATTTCCTTCACCTCCAGGCACGTGTTTGTAAATCCGTACGTGACGAGAATACCTCCTCACAATAGAGACATCTACGCAGACCGGGGACAAGCAGATATAACCACACACACACACAGGTGTGCTGTATTGCAGCACCGTGCTAATCGGGAGGTGAACGCCCCATAGCTCTTGACCTTATCCAGACCACCAGCTCGAAAGAACTGAACGTGTGCCCACGTTGTCGTTTAGAGCTGCAAGTCAACGAGCTGGGCACGTTGATGGCCGTGACGCACGGAAGAGTCCGAGCGAGGACGCAGCCGGCATCCAGCCGTGTCCACCGCTGCCCGCTGTCGGAACGGCCCCACATCTCGCCAACTGCTTTTTTGAGTCGGCGACTCTGAATGACAAGGACGGCCACACATCCGGTCCTTCGGAGCTCGTGGGCGGGACAAGGCCGAGAGCTTCTTTACGGTCAAGAGACAGTTGTCTGCCTCAAAGTCAGCCAAACCGATCGCCACTGATGTTAGCCGTGCCCGGGAAAATCTGAACTCCGGTAGCAGCGTTCAAAGTGCAAGTGTTGCCCAACAGCAGGAGCAGCAGCAGCAGCAGCGCCTGCTCGGGGCAACTCGGGATGGGCAGCGGACGCTGGACCGCACCAGCGTGGCCCACGTCCCGAACAACGAAAGTCGAGGGGAGAGGTCACTGCCGCTGGGTCCTCGACAAGCTCCGCTCACCTCCACATCCTCCTGTACCGCATAAGCTCCACCTCCTCTCTAGCCCGTGCCACCCACCCACTCACTCACACATCAGTCCATCTCCTCTCTAGCCCGTGCCACTCACCCACTCACCCACTCACTTACACATCAGTCCTCTCTAGCCCGTGTCACTCACCCACTCACTCACACATCAGTCCATCTCCTCTCTAGCCCGTGCCACTCACCCACTCACCCACTCACTTACACATCAGTCCATCTCCTCTCTAGCCCGTGCCACTCACCCACTCACACATCAGTCCATCTCCTCTCTAGCCCGTGCCACTCACCCACTCACTCACTCACACATCAGTCCATCACCTCTCTAGCCCGTGCCACTCACCCACTCACTCACTCATCAGTCCATCTCCTCTCTAGCCCGTGCCACTCACCCACTCACTCACTCATCAGTCCATCTCCTCTCTAGCCCGTGCCACTCACCCACCCACTCACTCACTCATCAGTCCATCTTCTCTCTAGCCCGTGCCACTCACCCACTCACTCACACATCAGTACATCACCTCTCTAGCCCGTGTCACTCACTCATACATCAGTCCATCACCTCTCTAGCCCGTGCCACTCACCCACTCACTCACTCATCAGTCCATCTCCTCTCTAGCCCGTGCCACTCACCCACTCACTCACTCACACATCAGTCCTCTCTAGCCCGTGCCACTCACTCAAACATCAGTCCACCTCCTCTCTAGCCCGTGCCACTCACCCATCTCACTCACTCACTCACACATCAGTCCATCTCCTCTCTAGCCCGTGCCACTCACCCACTCACTCACACATCAGTCCATCACCTCTAGCCCGTGCCACTCACCCACTCACTCACTCATCAGTCCATCTCCTCTATAGCCCGTGCCACTCACCCACTCACTCACTCATCAGTCCATCTCCTCTCTAGCCCGTGCCACTCACTCATACATCAGTCCATCTCCTCTCTAGCCCGTGCCACCCACCCACTCACTCACTCACACATCAGTCCATCACCTCTCTAGCCCGTGCCACCCACTCACTCACACATCAGTCCATCACCTCTCTAGCCCGTGCCACTCACCCACTCACTCACACATCAGTCCATCACCTCTCTAGCCCGTGCCACTCACCTACTCACACATCAGTCCATCACCTCTCTAGCCCGTGCCACTCACCCACTCACTCACTCACACATCAGTCCATCACCTCTCTAGCCCGTGCCACTCACTCACACATCAGCCCATCACCTCTCTAGCCCGTGCCACTCACCCACCCACTCACACATCAGTCCATCACCTCTCTAGCCCGTGCCACTCACCCACCCACTCACTCACTCACACATCAGTCCATCACCTCTCTAGCCCGTGCCACTCACTCACACATCAGTCCATCTCCTCTCTAGCCCGTGCCACTCACTCACCCACTCACACATCAGTCCATCTCCTCTCTAGCCCGTGCCACTCACCCACTCACTCACACATCAGTACATCACCTCTCTAGCCCGTGCCACTCACTCACCCACTCACACATCAGTCCATCTCCTCTCTAGCCCGTGCCACTCACCCACTCACTCACACATCAGTACATCACCTCTCTAGCCCGTGCCACTCACCCACTCACTCACTCACTCAAACATCAGTCCATCTCCTCTCTAGCCCGTGCCACTCACCCACCCACTCACACATCAGTCCATCACCTCTCTAGCCCGTGCCACTCACTCACCCACTCACACATCAGTCCATCTCCTCTCTAGCCCGTGCCACTCACTCACCCACTCACACATCAGTCCATCACCTCTCTAGCCCGTGCCACTCACCCACTCACTCACTCACTCAAACATCAGTCCATCACCTCTCTAGCCCGTGCCACTCACCCACCCACTCACCCACCCACTCACTCACACATCAGTCCATCACCTCTCTAGCCCGTGCCACTAACCCACTCACTCACTCACACATCAGTCCTCTCTAGCCCGTGCCACTCATTCACTCACACATCAGTCCATCTCCTCTCTAGCCCGTGCCACTCACCCACCCACTCACACATCAGTCCATCACCTCTCTAGCCCGTGCCACTCACCCACCCACTCACACATCAGTACATTTCCGCTCTAGCCCGTGCCACTACCGTTAAGCTCTCTCTATCCGGCCAAACAGCTGCTTGGGCATGCGGTAGCTGGAAACGGTGACGCGAGGGCGACACATGCATTCTGTTTAAATCCGCGTCGAACAAGAGAAACGCGATCTCGCGCTGTAAAGAAATTATTTTTAATGAACGCGCGTGGCGTTAGCAGTGGCATCATTGCAGGGTCCCGACCCAAGAGAGACGCGACCCCAAGGCACGCGACCCCACGTGACTCTTCTCTCGCAGCTACCCCATCTGTTCTGGCCTAGATGGCAGCAGTAGCAGCAGCAGCAGCAGTTTGTCCAGGAACTAAATACACAATGTCGAGGTCGGCTCGCTACGAGCAGAGGGCTTCAGGAGAGCGTTCGTGTGGTTTCGATATTCCTCCTCCTCCGTTGAAGGAGCGCAGACCACAGTGCCTTTACTATCTGGCCCATAATGTGGGCCGCATGGCCACGATCGCCTCGACATGAACGTGACTAAATATATCTGTCTCTATGCATCGCTATGTGCCTCTATGTGTCCCTACGAGTCTGTATGAGTTTACTATCTGGTCCACAGTGTGGGTCGCATGGCCACAATCTCACTCCTGCGCGGCTCGTGTCAATAATTTCCAACTCACGAGGGAGATGGAGCCCGTGTCGGCCTGGTGTTGTTTCTGATGCTGCTGACTACGGCTACACCAGCTGTCTTCCAAGTGCAGGGATGTGAAAGGCAGGAGAGGGGAGCGACGATGCTGAGGAGGAGGCGTTTTGTTGCGTGGCTGCCCACACACCCAGGATGCGCTTCCTGCCGCGGAGTCCCAGTCTCCAAGTTTCCTGAACCACGAAGTGGCACTCGAGCTGCGGTCACGGGAGCTCCGTCGTTGACGTCAATGTAGTGACACACCTTGGAATGTCACTCGAGCATCCTTGACCGCAGCAGTACAGCGTGAGATTCTTGAATACATCTGTGCGGCGCTTTTCCCGGTGTACCCCCTCTAACTGTGTGGTGCTGGGGGGTTGATTTCCTCCGAAATTCTGCAGCTTGCTCCCGAGCGAAGCCGCACTCTCTACGGAAATGGGACTGGCCTCTACGAGGCTTTCCTCACTAGGATTGTGCCTCACAGTACGGGGCACACACAGCTGAGGTCCACCGGCTGTGTGTTGCCGTGTGTAGTTGTGTGTATCCGTGTGTGGCTGTGTGTAGCCGTGTGTAGTTGTGTGTATCCGTGTGCGGCTGTGTGTAGCCGTGTGTAGTTGTGTGTATCCGTGTGTGGTTGTGTGTGGCTGTGTGTAGCCGTGTGTAGTTGTGTGTATCCGTGTGTGTCCGTGTTTAGCCGTGTGTAGTTGTGTGTATCCGTGTGTGTCCGTGTTTAGCCGTGTGTAGTTGTGTGTATCCGTGTGTGTCCGTGTTTAGCCGTGTGTAGTTGTGTGTATCCGTGTGTGTCCGTGTTTAGCCGTGTGCAGTTGTGTGTATCCGTGTGTGTCCATGTGTGGCTGTGTGTAGCCGTGTGTAGTTGTGTGTATCCGTGTGTGGCTGTGTGTTGCCGTGTGTATCCGTGTGTGGCTGTGTGTTGCCGTGTGTGGCTGTGTTTTGCCGTGTGTTTCCGTGTGTAGTTGTGTGTATCCGTGTGTGTCCGTGTGTGGCTGTGTGTAGCCGTGTGTAGTTGTGTGTATCCGTGTGTGGCTGTGTGTTGCCGTGTGTATCCGTGTGTGGCTGTGTGTTGCCGTGTGTGGCTGTGTTTTGCCGTGTGTTTCCGTGTGTAGTTGTGTGTATCCGTGTGTGTCCGTGTGTTGCCGTGTGTAGTTGTGTGTATCCGTGTGTGTCCGTGTTTAGCCGTGTGTAGTTGTGTGTATCCGTGTGTGTCCGTGTGTATCCGTGTGTAGCTGTGTGTAGCCGTGTCTATCCGCGTGTGGCTGTGTGTATCCGTGTGTAGCTACTAGAGAAGAGCTGGGAAGTGTTGTTTGGCCGTGTCCGACTTCCATCTCATCACCACATCGCCCCCTGCCCATATGTATAAGCGTCCTCTCTCTCTCTCTCTAAGATCGGCCGTGCAGCCGTTCAGACTGTTGGGGAAAGTGCTGTTTGCGAGCTCCTATTGAGGCTGGAGTGGCACAGGAGGAGACGGTGTGCGACCAGCACCACGCCCGCCCGCCTTTGTCTCCCCAGTGCTGATATTTACACACCACACAAGACACACATTTAAGGCTGAGTCGACCTAGCGATGGCCCAGAACTGCTTTAGATATCACCCACCACTTACGTGAGCCAGGGTCAGGATTTTAACTGGGGTCACCGCGCTTCGTGGCGCAGTGCGGTAATCGCGGCGCCACCATTCCCCGCTCCCCCCCTCTCTCCCACACACACACACCCATGTATATATATATTTAGTAAACTTTACATAATCTGTTCGGTATTTATCGTTTGCTGTCTCTCCGCTGTGGAGTGGAGCGCGCGAGGGAGGCTGTAAATCCCATCGGTTCGAACACCCCAGGGGGGGTCCACGACGCTCCGTCCCGCATTGCACACGTGGCCAATAACGCACCTCCACCCCAACTCGAGCCGTGTGTAGCCACAGCCTCCGCTCCCGTCCCAATGTAGCAGCAGCAGCACCCCCACCACCCCCACTACCCGCCCCCCACCAGGTGTGCTGTGTCACACCTGCGCCGACCCCGAACGACCCCGTCTCTCAATCGTGGTGGAGGGGGGGGCAGGGGGAGGGGGGTCACCGGCAGATTGAGCCTCTCGTACGGAGACTCGCCGTGCCAGCCCTTGCCACGCGACCTCTTGACCTCCGCCAGGTTGGGGACGCCAAGGGATAGTCAGGGTTCCCAGAGAAGGGGATGAGTCGGCGGAGGGGGTGCTAGTGGGAGACCCACGGCGTCCACAACTCGCCGGTACCCCCCTCCCAAAGCCAGCCGCCCGCAAGCGCGGCTACCCGGGGTCACCTCGGTGAGGTGACCCGAGTGAGGAAGTGAGCAGAGGTGAAGGTGGCCACCGGAGCTGAGGTGGGGGTGGTCACCAAGGTGACAAAGCATGCAGTTCGTCAACATTTTACGAGACCTGGATAAAACAGGTCACCAAAGTGAGGTTAGGTTTGGTCATCCGAGTGAGGAGTCCAGGTCGGCTCCGGGCCACGGGGTCGGCGCTGCCTCACGTCTCAAAGTTCTTGTAGATGGACGTCACGTATCCCATGATGCTCTGCCAGTCGGGCCGGTCCGAGTGCACCAGATCATTAGCGTCCTGCAAAACCCGGGGTGGACTCGCGTCAAGACACACATGTCCCACTCACACATACACAAGACACACATCCCACACACATGGAGGATGCACACACACACACAGCTTCAAAGACCCCAGTCATAGTTTCTCCCTCCTCAAGTGAGCCATGGGTCAATGGCCATCATCATCCCCATCGTCAGTGGTGGAGTTCCATGTCCATTTGACAGAGGCGAAGCTGAATACGCGAGTGTGAATATTTAACACAAATGGAATTGACAGTTTTTCTTTCTCTCATGCTGGAATCTCTCCCGACTTTGGGGCCACCGTCATCCAAATTCTCCAACATCCCCAAACAAATCCTGACAAATTAAACAAACAAAAGCCACGATCAAGTCGCTGGGGCCTTCATCCAGCAGTGGATGACGCGCGGTGGGCGGCGGAGCGACGGTGAAGATTTACGACTCCGTCGAGGTCCTCACCAAACGAGTAACGATCGCCATTTGTCCGGTGGTGAGTTTGTTTATCGAGGCCGGCGGTGGCGGCGGCCAAGGGATGGGCCGGGCTTATCGGACGCGGCGACCGAACCACCGCCGCTCAGCTGCAGGAAGCGGCGGTGGTGGGTGCCGCGACTTATCTGCTGCGGCAACCGTTACTGGGCGCCGGCGATCACCAGGGAGCGCGGCGGTGGTGAGGATAACGAGAGAGCTAGACAGAGCGTGGGAGAGCGTGGGAGAGAGCGAGAGAGAGCGAGAGAGCGAGAGAGAGAGAGCGAGAGAGAGCGAGAGAGAGCGAGAGAGAGAGCGAGAGAGAGCGAGAGAGAGCGAGAGAGAGAGCGAGAGAGAGCGAGAGAGAGTGAGAGAGAGCGAGAGAGAGCGAGAGAGAGCGTGGGAGAGAGCGAGAGAGAGAGCGAGAGAGTGATTGACAGGGAGAAGGTGGTCGAGGGAGTGATGCTGCTGCTTGCCCAAGCAGCCTCGGCGTTTCCAGATGCCTCGTCTCTGCCAGGGTGTGGCCGGAGTTCCACACCGGCCTTCCCACAGGCTGGCGGGAGACAGATGGGAATTCCCGGTGTGGTGGTGGGCGAGAGAGGAGGAGGGAGGAGGCTGCGTGCTTCGTGGCTCACAGACTGAAGCCTCTGCGCTCTACCCGAACCATGGTGCAGCAATGAGTAGAGAAAGTGAGATAGCGAGAGAGTGCGAGGAAGCGAGAGCGACAGTGTGCAAGGGAGAGAGCGGCAGAGAGTGATGCACAGCACCACAGCCGTGTTGAAGGAAGCCAAACACCACACAGCGTGATCGCCTAGGACAATGGGCCGTGGTAGGGGGGGGGTGTGGTGGCGGGGGGGTGAGCGAGTCCCGGTCGTAGGGGAGACAACGCCGTCGGCCGTGCGTCCACACGCCACTGACTCCTTCGCGGGTATCGAACCCAGACACTGTCCGGTGCGGTGATCGGCTGTTTTCGAACGTCAATAACCAAACTACGGCGACGCTAACCCCTCCGCGGGTATCGTCGCCGTAGTGTCCCCCCCCCCCCCCCACCTTCCCCCACCTCCGCTCGACCGAGCGATGGGTCTCGAGCACCGATGCCGAAAAATGTTCGGTGAGAAATGAAGCGCTGAGCAGAACCTCGAACGCATCATCTGGGCACACGTTGGGATCCTCGCATCGCGGCCGCAGCGAGTCAACCGCACGGACGTGGTGAGAGAGGGGGGGGGGGGTGGTCACGCCACGCTCACCAGGGTCGTCAGGACGCCAAGGCTCTCGGCTGCCTCGAATGCCAGCGTGAAGTTCCGCTTCTGTCGGAGAGAGAAAACGGTGGACGAGCGTCAACTCCTCGCCCGCGAGCGCGCTCTGCGTCGCCCGCGAGCGCTCTCTGCTTCACTGTGGAGCGCCCGAACACGGCCTTCCAGACCATCTCGGTGACCCAGCACCACGTGTCCAACGAGCTTGACGAGACCCAGAAGGTCGAATCCGATCTGCAGTTCACATCAACGATGCCGCTGGATAGTGATGGAGATGGCGAGGGTCGCTTCTCGACGTGGGGACGATGACGGTGACAACGATGATGACGATGATGATGATAACGACGATGATAACAGCGGTAACGATGGTGGTGGTGGTGGTGGCGGCGGCTGCTGCTGGCCGGTGTTTATGGATTCCGGTGCACGGCACGGCAATCTGCCGCTCTGCTCAATCGCACAACGACGGCACGAGGCCGCTGGAACGAGCCGAGCAGTCGAAACACAAAGACAAACATGCGCCCTATAGCCTTGACATACTTTTGGTGCAAGTGGTATTAGCGAGCACCGATGAAGGCCGGCACGGCACACAATAAACGAGGGGGTGGGTGGCCAGCACCACGCCCGGCCGCAATTGTTTTTCTGCTGCCGATGTATGCACGCCACATCAGTTACTCAGTCGAGGCTGAGTCGACCTCGGGGAGGGCCCAGGACCGGTTCAAATAATCGTTACCGGTGTTGGCCATGAGCGAACTCGGATCACCGGGTTCATAGTGCAGCGCGCTATCACACACATTCATACACACACAGGCACTTACATTTATACACACACAATCACAGTACACAATCACAGTACACAATCACGTGTACAGACGCACATAATACACTCTCCTGTACTCAATCACAACAGATAGATACCACTGCAATCACTGACAGACAGACGCAATCACAAGCGGACACACAGATATAATAACCTGCACGTAATCAAGATGCACACAATTGCACATAGATAATCAGGGACAACAACAACCGCCATTCGTCACGAAGTGGCAGTGACGTCACCACGGCGCCTGTGCCAGGCCAGGTGCACTTTAAGGCCACGTGACGTGTCGAACGCCCGCAGGCAGGTCACGGGAGAGACTCAGGTGCCATGGCTTGACTGACTGAGATGACCGGCTAACGCGCCATCATATAGACACACACAACTACACACAGGCAGCACACAGGCAGCACACAGGCAGCACATCCTTCATGTGGCCGCCTGTGTTGACGATGAGAGAAGGTGCTGTTAGCGAGCTGCACGCACGGACACGTACACACTCACATACCAACACACAAGTACACAGGCAACCACGCGTGCAATCGCACACACTGGCACGCACAATCATGCACACACAAATGGACACAATCAACAACAATAACAGCCGGCGATCACAAATAAATGCCGATAACCTCACCGCGGAGGTCACGCCGGGGTTAAATGCACTTTGAGGCCACGCACAGGGATCCCCCCCCCCCCACCCTCGTAGAGCCGCACAAAAAGAGCCGACCTAGGGGAGGCCCAGTCACCCTCTAGCCTCATCCCCCCCCCACCCGCCCCGGCTTTGTGTTGGAATCTCCGAGTCACACCTGGGCACCACTGCAAGTAAGGCAGATGCGATGGACAAAACCAACCGGGTGAGAAGTCCAGGGGGGGAGGGGTGGTGGGGGGTGGGAAGACATGGAAGCAGGGTCCCACCTGTACTAGGAGCCCCATCTCCCACGAGGGTGAGATGGGATGAGACGGGAGAGATTGGGACAGGAGAGGAGGAGAGAGAGGATTGGGTCAGGGCACAATGGGGCATGAGGAGATGAGGCAGGGACAGGACAGGAGGGGGGCGGGAGGCGTTGTACGGAGACACACGGGAATGAGAGAGAAGTGAAAGCGCAGGCCAGGAGGAGATGGAACGAGACAGGAGACGAGATGGGGCACGTGGGCGTGAGACGGGGGGGGGGCGGGGAGATGGTGTGGCCGGACCGAGAGGGAGAGCGGCACCTTGCTGGCGCTGCTCAGCTCCGCGTAGGGGATGTGCGCCGGCAGGAAGGAGTGCACGAGAGCACACAGCGCCAGCCCGTCCGCCCAGCTGCTGCTGAAATTCGTGATGTCTACGTTCTGTACGGGGGGGGGGGGGGGGGGGGGCGAGCGGACACGGTGACAGAGTGAGACCTGCTGGCGTCACACACACGGGTCACGTGATTTGACGTCACACACACACACGTTCGTGTTTTGTGCCCTAACTGAAGCGAGTTTATCTTGAGCACGGGAAGCCGAGTTCAGGTGCCATCCGTAAGGGCGTGTGGTGAGCACCACGCGCTACTCACGCACGCCACGCACACCACCACGCACAGCCTCGCCTGACAGAATCAGGCGAGAGACGGATGTGGCTGTGGTGCCAAAAGAACCGCCCCAGCAGCAGCGTTGCCGGATTGTGCCGGCTGGAATCACGCCCTGGGTGTCGTGCCTGGCGGCCCTGGTCGGCGCTGGCGTCCGGGCGACCGAGCGCCGCCGATGGTGGTGGGCGGGAAGGGGCGGAGGCGGCGACGCGGCACGGCGGCGCCCTCCCGGATCGGCGTGAAACCCAAAAGATCCCCTCGCCTTGCGCGGCTCACGGAAACAAAATCGCCCCCTCGACCGAGGATAATGAAGCCTCGCCACGGTAACCCACCACTCTCCTCCATCGCATCCCCCCCCCTCCCACCCTCCATCGCTCCCCATCCTCCACCCTTTCCTTCCCCGCACCCTCATCACTCGTCAATCTCCACCATCCCACCCTCTCATCCTCCCAACCTCCCCCCCCCCCCTCTCTCATCATCAACCTCCGCTTCATCCATTTACTCTCCGCCACCTCGATCTCCATCATCCCCCTTTCATTTCATCGCCGTCCCGCATTATCCCCCCCCCCCACCTCCTCGTCCGCCACCCAGCCACGGCATGACCTCTGACCCAGCAAATGTCGGAGACGCCGCCGGGAGGATCGTGCGGGCCTCATCGTTCGTTGGGGGGGTGGGGGGGGGGGCCGGGGTCGCCCCCCCGGGGGGCTCCGTGAGCGATGGGGCCGCGACGATCGTCGTCAGGACGGTGGCGGCCGTGTCCCGTGAATGTTGGCGGCTGTACCGCTCGCCACGACCCGCTACCACGACACCCCCCCAACCCCCACCCCAGGCTCCCGGCCATCTGCCCCTCCCCCCACCGTGCCAGGGTCGATGCCCTAACCCCCCCCCCTCCACTTTGATGTGTCGTGGCTAAACTGTTGAGGAAAATGTCAATATGCCATTTTCGTGTAGGTCGATGGAGCAGAACAAATGAAGGCGTGGAAAGAGACAAAGTGGAGGAGATTGAAAGGGAATAAATAAATAAATACAACCACCACCACCCATAACCACAACAACTACCAGCAACAACATTGCCACCACTACCACCACCTTTGCCACCACCATGCTCACCCCCCCCCCTCCCCCACTGCCGCCACGATTACCACCACTGTCACCACTGCCACCAACCACCACCAGCGCCCACCACTACCATCACCACCGACACCACCACCGTGACCACGACCGCCATCACCGCGGCCGCCATCACCACGGCGACTTCGCCGCCCCACGGTGGAGCCGGGACGGCACGGTCGGCGCCCGCCACGGTGGCGGCGGAGATATCAGCGCTCGCGCGCGGCGCTAAACGAGCGGTGACCCCCTCGACCCCGCACGCGTAGGCCTCGAGAGTCTAGCAGCCCGCACCAAACACGGAGCCCGCGAAACGGGAAAGGCGAACTCCGTGAAATGGATGCGCGCGGCCCCGTACGCTCGCACGCACACGCGGACGGACGTGTAACAAACATCGTACTTGGCGATGCCTCGGCGATCATCGCGTGCGGATCGATCCACGCGCTCATCGCCAATGGAGGAAATTGTAAACATCTACTACTTAGCTTTGCGGCCCACCTGGGTCACTCAACCAGCACGCAAATGTTCCCCTCTCAACAGCAGCAGCAACAGCACGGCGGCACGCTGCGTCACGTGCGCAGCCGCTTTGTTCATCCGCTGCCCGCGCTGTGCAGCACGCTGTGCAGCACGCTGTGCAGCACGCTGTGCAGCACGCTGTGCAGCACGCTGTGCAGCACGCTGTGCAGCACGCTGTGCAGCACGCTGTGCAGCACGCTGTGGGGGTTATTCGACCAAACGTCACCAAGCTGGTCAGTGCGGGCTGGTGAAGACGCCCTGTGTGGATAGATTCCACTGCTGCGCTGCCCTCGGCTCACAGAAGGCGATGCTCCGAAAGGCCAAAATGGCTCGTGGGCCTCACCGCGACATCACCGCCACGTCACCGTGACGACACCACTACATCATCACAACGTCACCGCTACGTCACCGCTACGTCACCGTGACAACACGACTACATCACTACATCACCACTACGTCACCGCTACGTCACCGCGACATCACCGGCACGTCACCGGCACGTCACTGCTACGTCACCGCTACGTCACCGTGACAACACGACTACATCACTACATCACCACTACGTCACCGCTACGTCACCGCGACATCACCGGCACGTCACAGGCACGTCACCGCTACGACATCACTACGTCACCGCTGCATCATTGCTACGTCACCGCTACGCCACCGCTACGTCACCGCTACATCACCACTACATCACCGCTACGTCACCACTACATCACTGTTACATCACCGCTACGTCACCACTACGTCACCACTACATCACCGCTACATCACCGTTACATCACCACTACATCATCGCTACATCACCGCTACATCACCGCTACGTCACCACTACATCACCACTACGTCACCGCGACGACACCACTACGTTACCGCTACGTCACCGCGACGACACCACTACGTCACCGCTACGTCACCGCGACGACACCACTACGTTACCGCTACGTCACCGCGACGACACCACTACGTTACCGCTACGTCACCGCGACGACACCACTACGTCACCGCTACGTCACCGCGACGACACCACTACATCACCACTACGTCACCGCGACGACACCACTACATCACCGCTACGTCACCGCGACGACACCACTACGTCACCACTACATCACCGCTACGTCACCGCGACGACACCACTACGTCACCACTACATCACCGCTACATCACCACTACGACACCACTACATCACCACTACATCACCGCTACATCACCACTACATCACCGCTACGCCACCGCTACATCACCGCTACGCCACCGCTACATCACCGCTACGTCACCGCTACGACACCACGACGTCATCGCTATATCAATGCCTAGTGGGGGTGGTGGCTATGCTGCTGCACGTGGCAGCCTATGACCCAGCACTGTAGAGGCAGCAGCAGCAGCAGCAGCAAGGGGTTGGTGGATCACACACAGATGTTGTTGTGAAACTCCCTGCCCATAAGCCATCGAAGAGGAACTGTACTCTGGCTCGCCAGTTAAAAGTGGTTATGGCAAAATGTAGACTCCACCCGTTCCATCTGCACGGGATCGAGCGTTGCCTCCTGACATGCGTGGGGTGTCTCCAGGTGACCCGGATTCATCCCACACATCGATAACACCTTGACACATAGATAACACCTTGACACATCGATAACACCTTGACACATCGATAACACCTTGACACATCGATAACACCTTGACACATCGATAACACCTTGACACATCGATAACACCTTGACACATCGATAACACCTTGACACATCGATAACACCTTGACACATAGATAACACCTTGACACATCGATAACACCTTGACACATAGATAACACCTTGACACATCGATAACACCTTGACACATAGATAACACCTTGACACTTCGTTAACACCTTGACACATCGATAACACCTTGACACATCGATAACACCTTGACACATCGATAACACCTTGACACATCGATAACACCTTGACACATCGATAACACCTTGAGACATAGATAACACCTTGCCAAATCGATAACACCTTGACACATCGATAACACCTTGACACATAGATAACACCTTGACACATCGATAACACCTTGACACATCGATAACACCTTGACACATAGATAACACCTTGACACATAGATAACACCTTGACACATAGTGGGCAGCAGAGCTTTGGGGGGATTCGGGTACAGGCTCCTCGCCGAGTGGCCGCTTCCCCGCTCATCCACGGCTCTTCCTCCCCTCCCGCCCCTCCCTCCCTCACTCCCTCTCGCCGCGTAAGTGATTAGCGGGCGCCGTGCGCCAGTGGCAGCGCTCAAAGTTGACGTCGTCATTAAATTGCTAGAGACTAGCCAGCGTGTTGCCGTGTGTGTGTGTAGATGTGTGTGTGTGTATGTGTCTGTGTATCTGTGTGTGTGTGGATGTGTATGGATGTGTGGATGTAGATGTGGCCTGGCACAAGCGTCGTGGTCACGTCACCGTCACTTAGTGGCGAATGGCAGTTGTAGATGTGTGTGTGAGCGTTCGAACATTCCACGTGGCCACACGAAGTGGCTTTTTGTTGTTTCTGGAGGAGCCCCGAGGGTAGAGATTCAATCTCCTGGCTCCGCCAATTGGGGTTTGGCCAGGAAACGTCATAGACGCATGTCCCCCCGGGGCCTCCGGCACAAGCTCATTAGTTAGATATTTTAGACGTGGTTTAGTGGTAAATTTTTGAAGGTGGAGGGGTTACCAGCCCCTCACACCCGTTCAGAGCCCCCGTTTAGCCCCTGTGGTGGTCACAGACTCTATGAGGGGAGGAGCCAATCGGAATTGGCCCTCCCCCCACAGCACTGTCCGCGACAGAATTGCCCGTCCGGCACCGCGAGGAGGTAGGGGATTGTTTCGCCGGCTCCAGTTTAACAGCAGAGGTCTCACTCCGAATCAGTCGAGCGGCAATATATTTTCATCGGTTGCGTAACGCTATGTGGAAACTACCTGGTCTGTCGCTCCGCACTAAGCTTCAGGTCTTCTCGGCCACGGTCATTCCCTCCCTTATCTACGCTTGCGAAACGTGGACCCCGCTAATGGAACATCTTGGCCAGTTAGAAACATTTAGGCTAGCCTGCCTACGATCCATCCTGGGTTTAACCAGGCTGAATTGTGTGAGAGGCTCACAAATCTTTGAAAGATCTGGGCAAGGTCCCATCGGTGAGTTCCTCCGGCAGGCAAGGCTGCGTTGGCTGGGTCATGTAGCCCGCATGCCCAGCCACCGCATGCCGAAACAGCTTTTGTTCGGCCAGATCGAGGGGGCTAAACGGGCGCGGCACGGGCTAGAGAAGAGATGGAGTGATGTGGTACAGGAGGACGTGGAGCTGAGTGGACTTGCCAATGACTGGTACCAGCGGTGTCAAGATCGGCCTCTGTGGAGGAGGCTCGTGACGGACGCTACTGGGCAGTTGGAGGCAATCGCCCTCCAACAACAACGGAGGGCGGAGGAGCGACGCTCACAACAACCAGCGGAGCGCCGGGTGGCTAAAGCACAGCAGATTGGCACAGTAGGGGGACAGGTGGTGCATCAGCCAGTCATCTTAGTCAGTCGACCTGTGGTACCTGGGTCTGCCCCGTGACCTCCTGTCAGCGGGCGTTCGACACTTCACGTGACCTCAAAGTGCACATGGCCTGGCACAAGCGTCGTGGTGACGTCACCGCCACTTAGTGGCGAATGCCGGTTGTTGTTGTGTGGGTGTGTGTGTGGGTGTTTGTAGCGCGGACGTCTCTGCACGAGGTGTTGTGGGGGTTTTTTTCCCTAACACGAATCCCCACGAGCAATCCGGCGACTCTCTCGCTAATCGGCACGGTGGAGCGTCCCCGCGGCTCAGGGGAAAACTTCCCCCGACGGGCGCCGAAGTCGCGCCAATCGAGCCGCTCCTGTTTTGGGTTTTCCAGCGGCGGTAATGAGCGCCGCCAATCGATGAGGAGGGGGGTGCGGGGGGGGCACGGTTAGTGTAGGGGTGGGAGGGCTGCGGGTTGAGTCGGGAGGGGAGGGGGCCCAGGTCGTGTCGCGTGGAGGAGCTGTGGCCGAGGGGGTAGGGGACACGAAGGGCGACGCGGGTTCCAATCCGGGCGTCGTCCCCCACCCCCCCGCAGCTCCGGTGTCTCTCCACCGAGCCCCCCCCGGCCCCCAGGCCCCCCATCGTGCTCCGACGCCGCGCAGCGACGCGAGCGTCGTCGTCGCGCGGCACTCACGGAGTAGTTCTGGGTCCTCTTCTGGCACCACTTGAGCAGAGCGTTCCGCTTGGAGCCCCCGTAGAGTCGCGCCAGCTCGGCCAGCGGGTCGCCGTGCTCATCCCTGCGGATGGAGCGCACGCGCCGTTAGCAGCTGCCGCCGGGAGCAAGCGCCGGTTGAGGCTGGCGCGACACGAGAGCGGGCGGTGTGGTTGCCGGGTATTCACTGGAGGCAGAATTGACTTAAAGGAGGCGCCTTGGACAGGTTCGGACGTTCGCCGCCGGTGCGGCCATGGCTAGAAAACAAATTCCCCGGGTCCGTAGCGCAGCGCAGTGCGCTAACCACGCTGCCACCATTCCATCCGACGAACACACACACCCTCACACGTGTGTAGGCAACACAGCTGATAGATGCGCGATTATTGGGGGTGGGCGGGGGGGGGGTGGGGGGGTGGGTGGAGGGGCTGCAAAGGTCAGCGAGCAACACGGCCACGGGACGGCTACAAAGCACCGGCCACACCGCAGGGTGGGCGGGAGGGGGGCGGCACCGATCGATCTGGGACAGGCGACTAATCACCGCTCGTTCACCAAGCCACCCACGCCGCCCCCACGGCGGCGTGAGTCGCTGGGTAACCGAGCGGTGATCGCGGCGATCGGGGTGTCGGTGATTGTCACGCCGCGGCGATCTCGGCGATGGCGGTGTCACGCCAAAGCACCCCGTACCTGGGGGTGCCGTACGGCGTGGAGCTCGTCGGGGAGCCGCACTGCGACGCGGGGGGGGAGACGCCGGGGGAGAGGGGGGAGCCGTCACTCCGCTCCCCGCCCTGGGCCGCGCCTGTCGACGGAAGAGAAGCGTCGCACCGGCGTCTCAGAACCGTCAGGCACAATGCTGCGTGTGCGGGGGGCACCGAGGGGGCGCGTGTGGCGCTGCATCGCGTCGGGAGGAGAACTCACGGTCGGAAGCGCTCGGTTTTCTCTCCTCGAGAGGCAGCGCAGACCAGGAGGAGCCGTTGTGGGAGGGACGCTGCTGCAGGACGGGGACGGGCGACACTCGTTAGCAAAACAATCGCGGTACCCGTCCCGTCGTCCGCTCGGCCCCGTCCGCACGCACCCCCCGGTAGTCGGACACGAGCTGCTGGCCCCCGTCCCGTCTCCACACACGGTGGAATGTTTATTATATTTCTCTCCCCAACATTGGCAGCCACGTTGCATCACGATGGTTTTCCTGGCAGGCGATTGGCCGGTTTAGCCACGGGAGCGACGGAACCCCTCGCGTCCATCTTTGCAATCGTGCTGGGATACGCACAGACACGCCCCGCGGGTACACGCCTCGCACACACACAGCCTGCTTCTTGACACCTGCTAGGGTACACGCCTCGACCACACACAGCCTGCTTCTTGACACCTGCTAGGGTACACGCCTCGCGCACACACAGCCTGCTTCTTGACACCTGCTAGGGTACACGCCTCGCGCACACACAGCCTGCTTCTTGACACCTGCTAGGGTACACGCCTCGCGCACACACAGCCTGCTTCTTGACACCTGCTAGGGTACACGCGGTCGCCCGCGAGCGCCGAGCGCCCACCTGTGTCGGGGCGAGGGTGGCGGCTGAGGGGGTCTTGACGGCGCCGGGCAGGGCTGGGGAGGGGCTCCCACCTTTAGCCGCTCCGTCAACCTCATCGCGGTTTCCTAGACGTGTACCGCACGCACCACACGCATCCACGCACCGCACGCACCGCACGCACCACGCGCACCACGCACACCACGCACCACGCGCACCACACACGCACCACACACGCACCACACACGAACACACCCCCAGTCGTTTTAAATGTTTAAATAACAGTTGCTGATCACAACAAACAGCACGATTGAAGGGTGTAAGAGCTAATAGTCAGTCGTCTTTCTTGACTTGAGCAAAGTGAACGAGTGAGTTTGTGAGTGGGTGGGTGGGGGAGCGGATGAGTGTGTGTGAGTAAGTGTTGAGCGAGTGCGTTGATTTGTCCTGCACTCTGGTGCTTGTGCATTGTGTGGATGACAGCATTCACGATGGGTTCGAGGAATCGATTAGTGAAGTTCACGGGAACTGTAACCATGCCAGGAGCGATAGAAGAGAGGGGGCGACTGACTGCCGGTGAACGAGTGACCGCAGTGAACCTGCGTGATGCCGCGTGGTGGGGGGAGGGGGTGGGCTCGCGGCGGCACCTGGGGGCCCCCGTGGCTTCGACGCCGGTTTAGGATTGGTGGTGGCGGGATTCGGCCGTGTCCGCGTCGCCGGTGCCGGCACCGGGGCTGTGGCACCATCGCCGACGGTCCCGTTGTGCCCGTCGCTCGTCATCTCCTCCGGCCTGGCGGCGCAAAACCACGGCACTCGTTCAGCATCCGGCCTGAACGGCGGCGCGCCCGGGCGAGGCGAGATCAAAGTTAGAGGAGGGAGACTTGCGCCGTCATCGTTTCGAGCGCCACGCCGGGAGATGGAATCGACATCTGGATGCGAAAGTCGAACGCGCGGTAACCGTTACCCCGCGGCGGCAATTTATTTGATGCTCGAACCTCGTCGGGATCGTGCCGGGATCGTGCCGGGATCGTGCCGGGATGGTGCCGGGATCGTGCCGGAACGGCGCCACGTCCCTGCCGGGCCCTGCCGCTGACACCCACCTGGCTCCGTCGTGCAGAGGGCTGGCGGAGGTCGCCTCCTGTAGGCGGCGTCTAAGTGACGCCACCTCCTCCTCCGCCTCCTCCTTGATGTCGTTGGCGATCACCACCGCGACCTGCAGATCGGCCTGGAACTGCCGCCACTCCTCCGCGTCGTCCTGGTGCATTGTGGGGGGCGGGGGTCATGAGAGGTCGTTGGCGGTAAAAAACAAAAAACACTCTCCGGGCGATCGGTCGGAAAGTTTTGATTCGCGGGATGCTGGTGAATTTGAAAGCAGAGCTTTAATTTTGAGTGTCATTATTATCGTTGTTGGTTATTGAGCACGGGCCCAAAGGCCAAACACGCCAAGCAGCAAGCAACAAACCGCACTGTTGAAGGTGTGATCGATGAGAGTCACTCGCGTGTCCTGAGCTGAGCAAGACGATTGTTGCAAGAGCTTTGGGGAAAAGAGACGATGGGAGAGTCCCACAATCCAAAAGTGGGAGGGAAGTGGCAATGCGGCGTGTAGGTGAGTGGGTGAGTAGGTGGCTGGGTGAGTGGGTGGCTGGGTGAGTGGGTGAGTGGGTGAGTGGGTATCTGGGTGTGTGGGTGGCTGGGTGAGTGGGTGGCTGGGTGAGTGGGTGAGTGGGTGGCTGGGTGAGTGGGTGGCTGGGTGAGTGGGTGGCTGGGTGAGTGGGTGGCTGGGTGAGTGGGTGAGTGGGTGAGTGGGTGAGTGGGTGGCTGGGTGAGTGGGTGGCTGGGTGAGTGGGTGAGTGAGTGGGTGAGTGAGTGAGTGAGTGGGTGAGTGGGTGAGTGGGTGGCTGGGTGAGTGGGTGAGTGGGTGGCTGGGTGGCTGGGTGGCTGGGTGGCTGGGTGGCTGGGTGAGTGGGTGAGTGGGTGGCTGGGTGAGTGGGTGGCTGGGTGAGTGGGTGGCTGGGTGAGTGGGTGAGTGGGTGAGTGGGTGAGTGGGTGGCTGGGTGAGTGGGTGGCTGGGTGAGTGGGTGAGTGAGTGAGTGGGTGAGTGGGTGAGTGGGTGGCTGGGTGAGTGGGTGAGTGGGTGGCTGGGTGGCTGGGTGAGTGAGTGAGTGGGTGGCTGGGTGGCTGGGTGAGTGGGTGAGTGGGTGGCTGGGTGGCTGGGTGGCTGGGTGGCTGGGTGGCTGGGTGAGTGGGTGAGTGGGTGGCTGGGTGGCTGGGTGGCTGGGTGAGTGGGTGAGTGGGTGGCTGGGTGGCTGGGTGGCTGGGTGAGTCACAGTGTACGAGTGAGCGAGGTGGTGGTTGAGCACAGCGTGGTGGACGAGACAAAAACAGCACCCGGAAGTCTTCTCAGCACAGGAATCAACGAGCAAAGTTCACGACAACAGCAACCATGGTAGCAGGAAGCAACGAGCGAAGTTCACGACAACAGCAACCATGGTAGCAGCGATAGACGAGTGACGAGGAGGCGGCCGACGGCTACTGAGCGAGTGCCGGATCACCGATCGGCACGGCCGCCGCTTCACCGGCGCCGTCACCGCCGCTCACCTTCATCTTCTTCTCCAGCACCTTCAGCTGCTTCTCCAGACTCAGCTTCTCGTCCTCCAGCTTCTGCGTCGCACCTGCGGAGGGTGGGCCCGGCAGCGCGGCGTGAATGCAGCGCACGGAGCGGACGCGGAGTGAACGCGCAGGGAACCCACGGCATCATCGCAGTGCACGGAGTGAACGCGCGGCGTGAACGTGGAGTGAACGCGTTGCACTGTGACGGATGAACGGCGCTCGCGAGCGGCGCATCCTGCGACCGCTGCTCCTCCAGGGCAGCGCCTCACTCCTCCTCTGCTAATGAGCGATCATGAGACGCAGGGGGGGGGGGGACGGTGGGGGAGGGGGGGGTGCAATTCCACCGGACGCAGAGGCGGTGGCGCCGCCGGTTCCCAGTGATTCGGGCCTCGCACAGAGGGCTGTCAATCCGGCGTTCAGGCCTCTGTACGACCGGGAAGCGGCTTTAACCTCGGCGAGCCTGGTCTGGGAGGAAGGTCACCCGCAAAGCTGGGACGCCACCAATTGCCATAAACGCTGCAGGGCCAAGGGATTCATTGTGCCGGGAGAGAGGACACAGTGCGCCTGTTGGTAACTGCCGGCGCCTCCCGGTGCCGGCCAATCTGCTCGTTCGGTGGCCCCCGCTGGGCCCCGATGGCCGCGACGCCGCTTCACGGGTGTCATCGGCTCGGCCGGGGGTCTCCCCAATCGCCCGCAATGTCGATCACGATCGGGGCAGCCCGTGGACGGGTCGTGCCGCCCGTCGTTCGGTTATGACGTCCGACGGTTCGCTCCACGTGCCGGAAGCTTCTTCAGGAAATAAATGAAGCCGAACTAAATTCGATTTTTAAACGAGCTCCCTGGCATGCCGAGCGAAATGTCGCACGCAGTTCCGAAGGGAACGCGCGGCACGACCGGCGAACGCGTCGTTGAGTTGCGGAGCATGAGAGCGGAGCGCCGTGGAGCCGCATTCAATATTCAAGGCCCACGCGGGACCCACTCGGTCCCGCCGAGCCTCCCGCGCCCTGCATTAGCGCGGCTCCGACAGCCATGAAAGCGGCCGTGTTTGATTCCTCCGCAGTGACCTCCCGCGCTCTCCCGGGCGCGTTTATTACACGCGTCGTGCCGAGCGGCAGCGATCAGCCGGCTCGGTAATTGTCTCGCAAATAAATATCGAGCGGCGGCGGTGTCCCCGCGGACGCCGCGAGCCTCCGGTCCCCGCCGGCGTACGTGCCGGCCCTCACGGTCGACCGGGAGGGCCGAGGCGCTCACCACGGGGCCCCGAGCCGGAGGCACCGTGAGAATGTGACCAACAAATAAGAACGCTAACGATCGTTTCCATATCGTTTGATTATTTAGGATTTCATTGCGCCTTCGCTGCGGATCGCCGCGAGACGAAGAATCCATTCGGAGCGTCGCCCCATGCGTTAGTTCGAGGTCCGTGGAAGGTGACGTCGCAGAACTGCTTCCAAGATCCGTGACCTTAACGGGGGCACCGCACCTTCCCGTGCACCGCGTCCGACCCCTTCGCCAACCCGTGCAAAACGGTGCGGGGAAGTATGGTCAAAGGACCCCCAACATCTTGCGACTGCCTGAACTGTCCTCCAACCACCAGTGAGCGCACAAAGAAGGGGCCGCAGGGTTGCAGCGGCTCTGGTGGCGACCTCCACGGCCAACGAGAGGCGAGAGCGAGCGGCGGTTTGCTGGACGCTCACGAGGGGCAGCGGCTGCGGTGGACGTCTCAGCGACGTCTCCGCGACGGAGGAGGCTCGGCCCGCCGGTTCCCGGCCCCAGCATGGACAGCGCTCGTGTGGGGGGGGCCCACCACGGGCACAAACAGCGGGGGGCTACGCCGTGGGCATCAGCGGGCGATTCTCGTGCTGTACTTCTATGTTCCCAGGCCTACGCTACTCTTCGCCGAACCCAAACCGGCCCGTCGAAGTACGGCGAGCTGACCTCGCGCGACCTGCGTGGGGTGGGTGGGGTGGGTGGGGTGGGTGGGGTGGGTGGGGTGGGTGGGGTGGGTGGAGTGGGTGGGGTGGGCGGTGAGGGAGGATGTAGATGGGCACTCATCCAGCAGTGGATCGACAAAGGGAGTTGTGGGAGATGCGCGAACTCGCGCGCGTTAACGGACACCACGGCTCCGAGCGCGATGACGGTGCAGATTCGGGCCGCGCGCCGCCCGTGGCGCTGGACGGGAAACCGAAGAAGATTTATTACAAAATAAATTTAAAATAAAATTAACGCGCCGACGGCCGGACGCTCCAAACCCCCACGGAGAGCGCACGGCGTCAGATCCCGAGGCCTCGGGCGCCCCAGAGTAATCGCGACATCGACCAATAGCGAGCGCCCTTTCAGTCTCGGCGATTCCTCATCGTCAGCCATGAAAAATCCACTGCTGAATGAAGCCAATCCAGAACACCACCATGTATTCATTCTGGACTTATCATAACCCTCATCGTCATAAATTTCCACGAGTGAGAACTCGGAAGAGCGTAGGGGGGGTGACACTCAGAGCGGGGGGCACACAACACCACCATTTACTGGCCGCAACCTCGCCGCCCCACGTCTGGAAATCCCTGGTCGTGAAGTCTCGAGGCACCGATCACCAGCCAATGTGAGCTTCAGAGATCCGATGAGATTTGTGCTGCATTGAGGGTGCTGTGATAATCGCAGGCCTTAATTTCACACAAAATATTTGAGGAAACATATTCTGGAGCTATTCCCTGGCTAATATTTGACCAGAAGAACTAAGAACGGTGGGGGGCTGAGCGTTCATCAGTGGTGGCTCAGCCCCCTTAAAAGCCCCTTAAAGCCCCGAGGGCCAACGCTTTAGGGTCTGCCGCACACACGCACGTGGACGCACGGACGAGCCCGCGCCATCCACACTCCCTTTTAGAGAAATCGGTTCCAGGAATTCTCCTACTTGACGGAAAATGAGAAACGAGCAGAGCGGCGCTCGGAGCCACACGGAGCCACGCGGAGCCACGCAGAGCCATTGATCGACGTCGCCCGAGCCACCCCCCAAGGCAGGAAGGCAGGCAGCAAATGGGAGGCGATTTCTCCTCGGCGAGAGGGCGCTCCCCCGGGGTTCGGCATTTTTGGCTCCGGCCTCATCAGCCGTCGGACGCACTCAGCTCTACGAAAGGTCAGAGGTTAACGGGGGCCGGGGCTCTGCACGGTTTTCCATTTCGCAGGCGGCGAAAAGCGCGTGTCATCCAGACGGCTGCAGATATATTTATATTATATTTATCACCATCAGCTTCAATGGCTATGGTCGATCCACTACCAGCCTCCCCCCAAGCCGTCTCAATCTCTCGTGACCCTGCGATGAAATAATCCAACCGGCACGTGCACTCGGACGGTTCCCGTCACTCCATGGCGTGGGTTGTGCACTCAACCCGGCGACGAGCGAACGCGACGAGGGCGACGAGTGTCACGTGACGAAGGCGACGAGTGTCACGTGACGAGGCCGACGAGTGTCACGCGACGAGGGCGACGAGTGTCACGTGACGAGGGCGGCGAGTGTCACGCGACGAGGGCGGCGAGTGTCACGTGACGAGGGCGACGAGTGTCACGTGACGAGGGCAACGAGTGTCACGTGACGAGGGCGACGAGTGTCACGCGACGAGGGCGGCGAGTGTCACGTGACGAGGGCGACGAGTGTCGCGTGACGAGGGCGACGAGTATCACGTGACGAGGGCGGCGAGTGTCACGTGACGAGGGCGACGAGTGTGACGTGACGAGGGCGACGAGTGTCACGTGACGAGGGCGGCGAGTGTCACGTGACGAGGGCGACGAGTGTCACGTGACGAGGGCGACGAGTGTCACGCGACGAGGGCGGCGAGTGTCACGTGACGAGGGCGACGAGTGTCACGTGACGAGGGCGACGAGTGTCACGCGACGAGGGCGACGAGTGTCGCGTGACGAGGGCGACGAGTATCACGTGACGAGGGCGGCGAGTGTCACGTGACGAGGGCGACGAGTGTCACGTGACGAGGGCGACGAGTGTCACGTGACGAGGGCGGCGAGTGTCACGTGACGAGGGCGACGAGTGTCACGTGACGAGGGCGACGAGTGTCACGTGACGAGGGCGGCGAGTGTCACGTGACGAGGGCGACGAGTGTCACGTGACGAGGGCGGCGAGCCAACGCGACGAGGGCAGCGAGGTCGACCGTGCCGAGAGAGAGGAGGGGACGGGGAGTGTCTGTCCCCGTCCGCCGGTGCCTCCCAGCGCCGGCCCAATCTGCCCGTCTGGTGGCCCCCCGCTGGTCTCCAATGGCCGCGACGCCGACCCTGGCACGCGCGGCAGCGCGGCCACGCGGCCACGCGGCCACGCGGCCACGCGGCAGGGATCCCCGGTCGCCCGCGACGCCCATCCATTCCCATCGCGCGCACCGCAGGCCCACAATATTTACTCCGACGGATTTTCAGTGTTCGGCACGATGTCCGACGTTCCGCTCCACATCCTGGGAGCTGTTTCAAGAGCAGAACCGGGCTCGTGCCAAGCCCCCCGCCCCCTCCCCCCCCCCCCCACCTCGGGAGACCGCAGGACGCTTGCCGTCGCCGCAGCGATAATCGCGCCGCGCCGCGCCATGCTCCGTGATCATTTAATTGAAACCATCCAAGAGACTTTTCCAGCCCATTCTCAGAATGGGCAACAAACACGAACCGATTTAAACCTTTGGCCACCAGCTTTTACTCGCCATCATCAAGACCCGTCAAAGCTTCCCTGCAGAGCTTGGAGCAAATATTGTAGCTACGGCTGCTGCCTCCCCCACTTGTCTGGAGTTCCTCTACGATCGTGAGATGCGATTAGTATATTCAACCAAAACATCATGAGAGATTAAACATCATCGCCATTGTACGGACCATTATCAATCCACTGCTGGATCAAGACCTGCTCACGTTGTCAGTTACGGAGGTTGTTTGACCGTACTTCGCCACGCTGCCCAGTGGTTCACATCTCCATCGCCGCTGACGTAAACCGTGGCCGGTTCGCGATTTAACGGAGTCGTTAAATAGCGATCTGATGGCTGACAGCGGGCAACTGTGCCCCACTGCCCCCTGCTATGATTCCTGGATTTCATTTTACACCCGTGCCTCCCGCTGCTGTTTGTCCCATGGGCAAGGCCCGGAATCAGCCTCCTGTCACTTGAGAAACGTCCAACAACTGCGTCCGATTGAGACGATCGAACGCTCTCCCAAAGTCAACACAAGCGCCACGGTCACCAACGTTGAAGTTAACATAATGAAGGGAAACGAAACTTTTTATTTTTATTTTACCAGGCAGAGCCCACTGAGGTAGAAAGTTCCTTTTCAGAAGCGACCTGGCTACAAATGATAGCTCAGAAAATTGTGGCTTATCGCGTGCAAATGTATCGCAGTGTTTCTAAATGTGGAGGGAAAAACTGGTGGACCCGGAGAAAAATCTACACGATCACACGCAGAGCATGCAAATTCAAAATGTACAAGCGTCAGGGTCAGGATCGAACCCACGACCTTGTTCACACCAGGCGAGGTCATTCATATCTCGCCACCGTGGAACGGTGGAACACGGAATAAACAGCCTGCACCCGCAACTCAGGATGTGCTGCTGCATCCACGGCAACTGGGAATACGGTTGGCAAATCAGGTCCAGTAGAGGACGCAGCCGGGGGCTGAGCTCCAGAAAATATTGCTCCCTTGCTGTCAGTGTCGGGTGGGGATGGGTGGGGACGTGGTAGTCCAGAGGGTTGGGTTGTTGGGGGGCCCTGGAGATTATTCCATGAGAGATTATCCTCATGGTGGTACCCCGGGGTAACAAATAATAAAAAATGGCCGAGGCAATTAAATATTTTATTTCTGGGACACTTTTTTTTTTCCAGGGGTGTACTGAACTCCGTGACATGGGTACCAATCAATCCGTAATCAGTGCCACTCCGCGATGTCGAAACCCTAAACGCTCGTACGCACCGTAGTGGTGCATCGTGTACACCTCATCGAGAAGAGTCGACCATCAACAGACTAAAAATGACTGCGTCACGGACATTATGCGAGAGCCAGGGTGCTATGGTATCCTGAGGTACCGCCATAATCCCTGGTTGTACCCAGTAGGGTGGCGGGGGGTAAAAGATTAACACTTTTATAATTATATACAACTTTACAAAAGTCTCTAAACTCCTCTATGACAGAAAACGGAAGTCAACACTTCCCCCCACCCAAAGTCCCGCCCCCCTCACACGTGGTAACTCACCGCCCAGTGAGGAGGACACGTGGCCCCCAATGCTGGATTAAGATCGTGCCACTTCAACTTTCTAAGACAGAGATACAGCTAGCAGTGGAGCGAGTCCAGCCAACCCCCACCAGCTCCACCTAGCAGGGGATAGAGCCTGCTCCAACTCAGACCCCCCCCCCCCAACCATCTGCTCTGGTCGCTCCAGCGAGACACGCGGAGCGGTGCTGCCCCCTGCTGGCCACAGCGCGGTTCTAGCGCTGTCAGAATCAGAATCCATATTTATACCGCAGGAGGAATCCGATGAGCTATAAAGCTCTTTCACACGTGTGCAGTAGGGGCACGGGATCAGGACGTCACAGCGCCGTGCGGAGACGCGGGCCCCGCCGCCTATTCCCAGCGCGCAAAAACTCCGAGCTTTAATCCGCCGGCCCAAGGCCCTTGACGAATGCGGCAGCCAACAAAAGCGTTTCGCTATCGAGAATTGAAGGCCAAGGAGCTTCCGCAGACGCCACGGCGGAGCGAGCGAGCGCGCGGGGGTCGGGGGGGGAGCCTCACCCTGCATCTCGGTGAGGCGGTGATCCCCGTGGCGTCTGAGCGCGCGGTGCTGCTCCACCTCGTCCTCCAGCTCGTCAAGGCCCTCCCGCAGGCGGGCCAGCTCCGCTTCCAGGTCGGCCTTTTCCCCGCGCAGGGTGCTCAGCTCTCCCCGCAGCTTGTCCCTCTCCTGCCCGAGGCCACGCTCCTCTTCGCGGGGCGGGCCGCGCGCCACGGCGGCGCTCAGCTCCCCGCGCAGGCCGTCGCTCTCCCGCCGTAGCTCCTCGACGGTCCGGGCGGCCGCCTCATCGCGCTGGAGCCTCTGCTGCTGCAGCGCGGCCACGCGCTCCTCCAGCGCGGCTTTGTCGAGCCGCAGGGCCTCGGCCGCCCGGCTCAGCTCCTGTTCGCGTCGCTTCGCCTCGCCCTGCAGACGTGTCCCGGCGGCGCTCAGCTCCTTCTCCAGGCCCTCCTTGTCTCGCCGCAGGCTCTCGACGGCCCGGCTCAGCTCGGTCTGGCGGGCCCGGGCTTCGGCGGCTGCCCGGAGCCCCTGCTCCAGATCCACTCGCCCCTGCCGGAGCTCGGCGCCGACTCGGGCCAGCTCGGCCGCGTGATTCGCGGTCTCCTCGGCGAGTCGCGCGCGGGCGCCGCTCAGCTCGGCCCGCAGGGCCTCCTTCTCCTCGCGCAGGGCCCCCGCCTCTCGGGCCAGCTCGGCCTCACGCAGCTGAGCCTGGCCGTGGAGCTGCGAGCGGCTCGAGGCGAGCTCCCTCTCCACGCCCTCCTTCTCGCTCCTCAATTTGTCCACCGCGAGGCCGAGTTGGCTCTCATGGCGCGCGGCCTCACTGCGGAGCTGCGACCTCGCCGCTTCCAGCTCTCCCTGCAGCTCCTCCCTCTCCCGTCCCAACTTCTCAATCTCCTGCCTCAGCTGCTGCTCACGCTGCTGAGCCTCGGCCTGCAGCTGTGACCTCGACGAGCCCAGCTGCTTCTCCAGCTCCTCCTTCTCCCGTCCCAACCTCCCCACCTCCTGTCTCAGCTCCTCCTCAAGGTGCCGAACCCTGACCTGGAGCTGCGACCTCGCCGCTTCGAGCTCCTTCTGCACCTCCTCCTTCTCCCGTCCCAACCTCTCCACCTCCAGTCTCAGCTGCTGCTCGCGTTGTTGAGACTTCGCCTGCAGCTGTGACCTCGACAAGGTCAACTTTTTCTCCAGCTCTTCCTTCTCTGACCTCAGTTTCTCCATCTCCCGCGTCAGCTCCTCCTCACGAAGTTGAGCCGTGCCCTCAAGCTGTGACTTTGCTGAGCTCAACATTTTCTCCTGCTCCTCCTTCTCCAGTCTCAGCATTTCAATCTCCCGGCTCAGTTGCTCCTCGCGATGCTGGAGCTGCGACCTCGCCGCTCCCAGCTCCATCTGCAGTTCCTCGTTCTCCCGTCCCAAACTCTCCACCTCCTGCCTCAGCTCCTGCTCACGCTGCTGAGACTCGGCCTGCAGCTGCGACCTCGACGAGCCCAGCTCCTTCTGCACCTCCTCCTTCTCCCGTCCCAACTTCTCAATCTTCCGGTGCAGCTCCTCCTGCAGCCGCGCGGCCTCGCTCCGGCGTTCCTGCAGCGCGTCGCTCAGCTCCTCCACCCTCTGCTCCATCTCCCGCTGCTGCATCACCTGTTGCGCTTGGAGCTGCGGGGAGGCGGGGGCGAAACGCTAAAAATCGGTTCGAGTAAAAAAAAATCTCCAAAATGTTACCGCTGCGATGCTGTCGGCGACATTTACGTTTTTCGGAACCGCCGCACAACACGGTGGCATCGGCCCGTGTAAGAGAACGGCACGTGGAAGATGACGCTACAGAGGTACTTCATAGCTCCTATGACTTGCCTCTTGCCGGCACTGGGTGGCAGCGGCAGTGCCAACCTCTCGCTCGCCCGGCGACAAAGCCGTCTGTCGCATGCCAAACAAACCGCAACAAGTTGAGATAGCAGAGGTGGCACGGGCTGAATTCAGCAAAAAGACATTGAATGATGAGTTCGTTTTTTTGTGTGTGCAGTTATTGGGTGTGATTGGGCTTAGACCATCAACTCGCTGCACTTGAGGACCCGGCTTAACCACGGGCAGCTGAGCCACAGCCACCTCGATTAAAGGAAACTTGAACAGAACGCATTGGAACATTCATGGACTGTACTTCAGGGCACCGGGTACCGAGCCAGTCCCTGAGCTACCGTCATGTCAACCCCCTAGAGCTACACTCATGTCAACCCCCTAGAGCTACAGTCATGTCAACCCCCTAGAGCTACCGTCATGTCAACCCCCTAGAGCTACCGTCATGTCAACCCCCTAGAGCTACCGTCAGGTCAACCCCCTAGAGCTACCGTCATCTCAATCCCCTAGAGCTACCGTCATCTCAACCCCCTAGAGCTACCGTCATCTCAACCCCCTAGAGCTACACTCATGTCAACCCCCTAGAGCTACACTCATGTCAACCCCCTAGAGCTACCGTCATGTCAACCCCCTAGAGCTACAATCATGTCAACCCCCTAGAGCTACAGTCATGTCAACCCCCTAGAGCTACCGTCATCTCAACCCCCTAGAGCTACACTCATGTCAACCCCCTAGAGCTACCGTCATCTCAACCCCCTAGAGCTACACTCATGTCAACCCCCTAGAGCTACCGTCATGTCATCCCCCTAGAGCTACACTTATGTCATCCCCCTAGAGCTACACTCATGTCAACCCCCTAGAGCTACACTCATGTCAACCCCCTAGAGCTACCGTCATGTCAACCCCCTAGAGCTACCGTCATCTCAATCCCCTAGAGCTACCGTCATCTCAACCCCCTAGAGCTACCGTCATCTCAACCCCCTAGAGCTACACTCATGTCAACCCCCTAGAGCTACACTCATGTCAACCCCCTAGAGCTACCGTCATGTCAACCCCCTAGAGCTACACTCATGTCAACCCCCTAGAGCTACAGTCATGTTAACCCCCTAGAGCTACCGTCATCTCAACCCCCTAGAGCTACACTCATGTCAACCCCCTAGAGCTACCGTCATGTCATCCCCCTAGAGCTACACTTATGTCATCCCCCTAGAGCTACACTCATGTCAACCCCCTAGAGCTACACTCATGTCAACCGCCTAGAGCTACCGTCATGTCAACCCCCTAGAGCTACCGTCATGTCAACCCCCTAGAGCTACCGTCATGTCAACCCCTAGAGCTACCGTCATCTCAATCCCCTAGAGCTACTGTCATGTCAACCCCCTAGAGCTACCGTCATGTCAACCCCTAGAGCTACCATTATGTCAACTCCCTAGAGCTACCGTCATCTCAACCCCCTAGAGCTACCGTCATTTCAACCCCCTAGAGCTACCGTCATGTCAACCCCCTAGAGCTACCGTCATGTCAACCCCTAGAGCTACCATTATGTCAACTCCCTAGAGCTACCGTCATCTCAACCCCCTAGAGCTACCGTCATTTCAACCCCCTAGAGCTACCGTCATGTCAACCCCCTAGAGCTACCGTCATGTCAACCCCTAGAGCTACACTCATGTCAACCCCTAGAGCTACCATCATGTCAACCCCCTAGAGCTACCACCATGTCAACCCCCTAGAGTCAACCCCCTAGAGCTACACTCATGTCAATTCCCTAGAGCTACTGTCATGTCAATTCCCTAGAGCTACCGTCATGTCAATCCTTTAGAGCTACACTCATGTCAACCCCCTAGAGCTACCGTCATGTCAATCCCCTAGAGCTACACTCATGTCAATCCCCTAGAGCTACCGTCATGTCAATCCCCTAGAGCTACACTCATGTCAACCCCCTAGAGCTACTGTCATGTCAACCCCCTAGAGCTACACTCATGTCAACCCCCTAGAGCTACTGTCATGTCAATCCCCTAGAGCTACACTCATGTCAACCCCCTAGAGCTACCGTCATGTCAACCCCCTAGAGCTACCGTCATGTCAACCCCCTAGAGCTACCGTCATCTCAACCCCCTAGAGCTACCGTCATCTCAACCCCCTAGAGCTACAGTCATGTCAACCCCCTAGAGCTACCGTCATCTCAACCCCCTAGAGCTACCGTCATGTCAACCCCCTAGAGCTACCGTCATCTCAACCCCTAGAGCTACCGTCATCTCAACCCCTAGAGCTACCGTCATCTCAACCCCCTAGAGCTACCATCATGTCAACCCCCTAGAGCTACCATCATGTCAACCCCCTAGAGCTACCATCATCTCAACCCCTAGAGCTACCGTCATCTCAACCCCCTAGAGCTACCATCATGTCAACTCCCTAGAGCTACCGTCATGTCAACCCCCTAGAGCTACCGTCCTGTCAACCCCCTAGAGCTACACTCATGTGAATCCCCTAGAGCTACCGTCATCTCAACCCGCTTGAGCTACAGTCATGTCAATCCCCTAGAGCTACACTCATGTCAATCCCCTAGAGCTACACTCATGTCAACCCCCTAGAGCTACTGTCATGTCAACCCGCTAGAGCTACAGTCATGTCAATCCCCTAGAGCTACACTCATGTCAACCCCCTAGAGCTACCGTCATGTCAACCCCCTAGAGCTACCGTCATGTCAACCCCCTAGAGCTACCGTCATCTCAACCCCCTAGAGCTACCGTCATCTCAACCCCCTAGAGCTACAGTCATGTCAACCCCCTAGAGCTACCGTCATCTCAACCCCCTAGAGCTACCGTCATGTCAACCCCCTAGAGCTACCGTCATCTCAACCCCTAGAGCTACCGTTATCTCAACCCCTAGAGCTACCGTCATCTCAACCCCCTAGAGCTACCATCATGTCAACCCCCTAGAGCTACCATCATGTCAACCCCCTAGAGCTACCATCATCTCAACCCCTAGAGCTACCGTCATCTCAACCCCCTAGAGCTACAATCATGTCAACCCCCTAGAGCTACCATCATCTCAACCCCTAGAGCTACCGTCATCTCAACCCCCTAGAGCTACCATCATGTCAACTCCCTAGAGCTACCGTCATGTCAACCCCCTAGAGCTACCGTCCTGTCAACCCCCTAGAGCTACACTCATGTCAATCCCCTAGAGCTACCGTCATCTCAACCCGCTTGAGCTACAGTCATGTCAATCCCCTAGAGCTACACTCATGTCAATCCCCTAGAGCTACACTCATGTCAACCCCCTAGAGCTACTGTCATGTCAACCCGCTAGAGCTACAGTCATGTCAATCCCCTAGAGCTACACTCATGTCAACCCCCTAGAGCTACCATCATGTCAACCCCCTAGAGCTATCGTCATGTCAATCCCCTAGAGCTACCACCATGTCAACCCCCTAGAGCTACTGTCATGTCAACCCCCTAGAGCTACACTCATGTCAACCCCCTAGAGCTACCGTCATGTCAACCCCCTAGAGCTACCGTCCTGTCAACCCCCTAGAGCTGCACTCATGTCAATCCCCTAGAGCTACCGTCATCTCAACCCGCTAGAGCTACAGTCATGTCAATCCCCTAGAGCTACACTCATGTCAATTCCCTAGAGCTACACTCATGTCAATCCCCTAGAGCTACCGTCATGTCAATCCCCTAGAGCTACACTCATGTCAACCCCCTAGAGCTACTGTCATGTCAACCCGCTAGAGCTACAGTCATGTCAATCCACTAGAACTACACTAATGTCAACCCCCTAGAGCTACCATCATGTCAACCCCCTAGAGCTACAGTCATGTCAATCCCCTAGAGCTACACTCATGTCAACCCCCTAGAGCTACTGTCATGTCAATCCCCTAGAGCTACACGCATGTGAATCCCCTAGAGCTACACTCATGTCAACCCCCTAGAGCTACCGTCATGTCAACCCCCTAGAGCTACCACCATGTCAACCCCCTAGAGCTACACTCATGTCAACCCCCTAGAGCTACCATCATGTCAACCCCCTAGAGCTACCGTCATGTCAACCCCCTAGAGCTACCGTCATGTCAACCCCCTAGAGCTACACTCATGTCAATGCCCTAGAGCTACCGTCATGTCAACCCCCTAGAGCTACACTCATGTCAACCCCCTAGAGCTACCGTCATGTCAACCCCCTAGAGCTACCATCATGTTAACCCCCTAGAGCTACCGTCATGTCAACCCCCTAGAGCTACCGCCATCTCAACCCCCTAGAGCTACCGTCATCTCAACCCCCTAGAGCTACCGTCATGTCAACCCCCTAAAGCTACCGTCATCTCAACCCCCTAGAGCTACAGTCATATCAATCCCCTAGAGCTACACTCATGTCAACCCCCTAGAGCTACCATCATGTCAATCCCCTAGAGCTACCGTCATGTCAATCCCCTAGAGCTACCGTCATGTCAATCCCCTAGAGCTACCGTCATGTCAATCCCCTAGAGCTACCGTCATGTCAACCCCCTAGAGCTACCATCATGTCAACTCCCTAGAGCTACCATTATGTCAACCCCTAGAGCTCCCATCATGTCAACCCCCTAGAGCTACCATCATGTCAACCCCCTAGAGCTACCATTATGTCAACCCCCTAGAGCTACCGTCATCTCAACCCCCTTGAGCTACCGTCATCTCAACCCCCTAGAGCTACCGTCATCGCAACCCCCTAGAGCTACCGTCATGTCAACCCCTAAAGCTACCGTCATGTCAACCCCCTAGAGCTACCGTCATGTCAACCCCCTAGAGCTACCGTCATCTCAACCCCCTAGAGCTACCGTCATCTCAACCCCCTAGAGCTACCGTCATGTCAACCCCCTAGAGCTACCGTCATCTCAACCCCTAGAGCTACCGTCATCTCAACCCCTAGAGCTACCGTCATCTCAACCCCCTAGAGCTACCGTCATGTCAACCCCCTAGAGCTACCGTCCTGTCAACCCCCTAGAGCTGCACTCATGTCAATCCCCTAGAGCTACCGTCATCTCAACCCACTAGAGCTACAGTCATGTCAATCCCCTAGAGCTACACTCATGTCAATCCCCTAGAGCTACACTCAGGTCAATCCCCTAGAGCTACCATCATGTCAATCCCCTAGAGCTACACTCATGTCAACCCCCTAGAGCTACTGTCATGTCAACCTGTTAGAGCTACCGTCATGTCAATCCCCTAGAGCTACACTCATGTCAACCCCCTAGAGCTACACTCATGTCAACCCCCTAGAGCTACCGTCATGTCAATCCCCGAGAGCTACACTCATGTCAACCCCCGAGAGCTACACTCATGTCAACCCCCTAGAGCTACTGTCATGTCAATCCCCTAGAGCTACACTCATGTCAATCCCCTAGAGCTACACTCATGTCAACCCCCTAGAGCTACCGTCATGTCAACCCCCTAGAGCTACCACCATGTCAACCCCCTAGAGCTACACTCATGTCAACCCCCTAGAGCTACCATCATGTCAACCCCCTAGAGCTACCGTCATGTCAACCCACTAGAGCTACCATCATCTCAACCCCCTAGAGCTACACTCATGTCAACGCCCTAGAGCTACCGTCATGTCAACCCCCTAGAGCTACACTCATGTCAACCCCCTAGAGCTACCACCATGTCAACCCCCTAGAGCTACCGTCATGTCAACCCCCTAGAGCTACCATCATGTCAACCCCCTAGAGCTACCGCCATCTCAACCCCCTAGAGCTACCGTCATGTCAACCCCCTAGAGCTACCGTCATCTCAACCCCCTAGAGCTACCGTCATGTCAACCCCCTAGAGCTACCATCATGTCAACCCCCTAGAGCTACCGCCATCTCAACCCCCTAAAGCTACCGTCATCTCAACCCCCTAGAGCTACACTCATGTCAACCCCCTAGAGCTACCGTCATGTCAACCCTCTAGAGCTACCGACATGTCAACCCCCTAGAGCTACCGACATGTCAACCCCCTAGAGCTACCATCATGTCAACCCCCTAGAGCTACCGTCATCTCAACCCCCTAGAGCTACCGTCATCTCAACCCCTAGAGCTACCGTCATGTCAACCCCCTAGAGCTATCGTCATCTCAACCCCCTAGAGCTACCGTCATGTCAACCCCCTAGAGCTACACTCATGTCAACCCCCTAGAGCTACTGGAATACCTCCGCACCACAAACCGAGTTAATATCTTTTGATTTAAAGCTTTCGTGACTGCAGTGATTAATATTCTTGGTTCTTTCGGTAAAGTCACGTGACTTTACCGAAAGAACCAAGAATACGAGTTAATATCGTGAGAAAGCTGCCACGGTCAGAGCTGTGGCGAGCACAGGTGGGCACAGGTGAGCAGAGGTGGGCACAGGTGAGTACAGGTGGGCACACATTGGTATATGTGGGCACAGGTGAGTACAGGTGAGCACACATTGGTATAGGTGGGCACAGGTGAATAAAGTTGGGCACACATTGGTATAGGTGGGCACAGGTGAGTACAGGTGGGCACACATTGGTATAGGTGGGCACAGGTGAGTACAGGTGGGCACACATTGGTATAGGTGGGCACAGGTGAGTACAGGTGGGCACACATTGGTATAGGTGGGCATAGGTGAGTACAGGTGGACACACATTGGTATAGGTGGGCACAGATGGGCACGGTGGGGATAGGTGAGCACAGGTGAACCCAGGTGAGCACAGGTGAGGTAATCTCTTTAATTTACCGCCCCTCACTACACAAGGTGACCACGGGTGTTGGCGCACTGTATGGGGCTGTGGTCCACTGTACGGACCAGCCGGACTGGCGGGGCCGGGTCAGTCTCGTTCCCCCCCCACACCACACCACAGGGGGTCCCCTCGAGGGATGAGTGCATGCCGGTCATTCCTGCATCTCACAGCTGGGACGCCGCCCATCATCACATCATCACACGTCCTGTCATATCGCCCATCATCACATAATCCCATCATCACGTCATCACGCGTCCTGTCATCGCCCATCATCACATCATCACGTCATCACGCGTCCTGTCATCGCCCATCATCACATCATCACACGTCCTGTCATATCGCCCATCATCACATAATCCCATCATCACGTCATCACGCGTCCTGTCATCGCCCATCATCACATCATCACATCATCACGCGTCCTGTCATATCACCCATCATCACATAATACCATCATCACATCATCACACGTCCTGTCAAATCACCCATCATCACATCTCCCATCGTCACATCAGAGCTCACACCCCAGTGTGTGATGATGATGATGATAATGATCACGTTGACTGACGATGTCGATGGTGGTGAACTACATCATGTCATCTAACACGAGCGGACAGAGCAACGGTGCCCAACGTTTCGGCACCACCACCAGCTCTCACACGCGTTTCACGTCCCACCGCGCGCCAATAGGGCTACATCCCTCCACTAAAACTCCACGAGCGCTGTTGAGTGTCGGTTAAACGGCCATAAAAACTATAACCTCGCTTCTTATTGATGATCACATGACTTGTGCAATGGACAACAGCGGTGGGAACCACTCGTCGTGACTTGAGCGACCGATGTAAAATGTAACGATGTTCTTCTGAAAGGGATACCGAAGCTAAGCGATGCACGTTATAATGATCTTCGGCAGGCCTGGTAGATATGTGGGTGACTGATGCACAGTCTAATGGTGTTCTCGCAGTGATAGCCGAGTGATGTAAGTTTGAGTTATGTTCTCGAAGGGCTCGAGAGACTTAAGTGATATAAATTGGAATCATGTTGTAAATTAGAATCAAATTAGAATCATATTGTAGATAATGACCATGTTATGGAAGGGCTCGAGAGGCCCAGGCGATGTAAATTATCCGGAAGTTCCCGGAGCATTCCAGGACACGCGAAGCGGATCTCATGGACCGTGTTGCGTGTGTGGCACACGGCACGGCGGAGTCGTGTGCCACACACGTGCACTTGTGGCACGCGGCACGGCGGAGTCGGGCGGTGTCCAAATCTGCCGGCGGTTCGGGGTGCGTCTCTGGATAGACACCGTTCCGTCACGCGCCAAGATCGCCGCTCCGCCACAGCGTCGTCGCCTGGACGTCGACTGAGAATCGTCGATCCCCAAGCAGCGGCCGTGCGCAACGAGAGACTGCAGTGGTGGCGGCGGTGGCGGTGTGGTGAGGTGAGGTGATTGTTTTCTCGGAACAATGGGGAACCGAGGGCGACTTCACGCGCTCACTAATTGTGGGCGCGCCACTCGAGTCACCGCGACGGCATTCCTCCTCACCGGGTGCGCCGTGGTCGTCGGGGGCGCGGGGGGGCGGACTGCGCACCCCCAGTAATTTGTTCCACATTCCTATGGCAGGGGAAAGTCTATCTATAGGATGACCACTATTGACTTTTCCACAAAGTGGTACTCGTTTTATTGACCCTTGAAGGATAATGGACCGAATCAACCCCCAATCAGGAGTTGAACTCGCAACCCGCTGAAGGCGAGCCGCTCGCTTTCCCGTTATGCCGCGTGGCCGGATCGGCTCTGAGACACCGGCACGGCCATGGACGAGGGGGGGGGGGGGGGGAGGAGGGGGGAGGACAGCGCCGGCGCTCCGTACCTGCGCCATCGCCTCCTGCAGGCGGCTGACCTCAGCGCGACCTCTCTTCACGTCGCCGTCCTCCTCGTCGTCATCGTTAGCGCCACTCGGCACCGCTCTCGGCTCCCGCGCCACCTCCGTCTGCGTGTGGGTGCTGCGGAGCGCCGGCGCCCCGTCCGGGGTGGCGCTCCTCTCCCGGCCCGGCCAGCCGCCTTTCAGCAGCTGCCTCGGCGCCGGCGTGGGCAGCCGGCTCTCCCGTCCCGCCCCGCGACCTTCTCCCGGCGTCCGGCTTTCCCGGGCGGCGGCGGCGGCGAGGTCGGAGCACTCGCGCCGGGTGAGCGCGGCCACCGTGGCGCGGGCCTCCCGGCACTCCTGCTCCGCCGCCAGCAGCGACTCGCTCAGCTGCGTCTGGATCTCCAGCAGCTGCTCCAGCTCCACGCCTGCCAGCATTCCCGAGCCGGGCGACTGGCACAGCAGCCTGGGGCGCCGGCAGGCACGCGCACACGGACAAAGAGCCCCTGTGTAGCCTCAACAGACTGTCCGGGCAAGTGCTGCCGGAGAGCAGAACCCACGAAGGCCGGCACGGCACACGAGGGGGTGGGTGGCCGGCACCACGCCGCCTTTGTCTCTCCAGTCGCGATGTTTGCACACCGCACCGGGTAATTATTTATAAGACATCATCAGTGTGAGGGCTGCAACCATCGGGGGTTTGACAGCAGCACGATGATGACCATGATGATGCTGGGGTGGTGTTTTCACTCTCTGTGTATTGTCAGGGGCCGCACTAAAGGCCACCAGGGTCCACCAATGGCCTTGAAATTAAGAACGCCGCCCTAGGGGAAGCTCAGGATCGGTTCAGATAATCGTCACGGGTGTTGGCCGTGATCGGGAATCAAACTCGGGTCGTTGTGTTCGCAGCGTGGCACGCTAAGCGCTGCACCACCAATCCCCTCCCCCGCACACGCTCAGCCACGCCGCATCAGCTGGCAGCAGGCGGCACGCGAGCGAGCGAGGGGGGGACACGCGGGCGTGACCGCTCCGTGGCGCGGCCTCGCACGCCGCTCTCCAATGTGGAAACTTCAGCTCCATGGGCAGGAAACAAAAACATTTCCACGGAGATTGAACAAATATCCCCACTCCCTGCGGACTGCGCTGCAGATACCAACAAGCTCCACGCACGCAGTGACACACACACAGTGGTGACACACAGTGGTGACACAAAGACAAAGATCCCCCGTATAGCCTTAACAGACTGTAGGGGCAAGTGCTGTTAGCGAGGACCTATGAAGGCCGGAACGGTACACGAGGGGGTGGGTGGCCAGCACCACGCCCGACCGCCTTTATCTCCCCAGTGGCAATGTTTTTATCCACCGCACCAGGTACTCATTTGAGGCTGAGTCGACCTAGGGGAGGCCCAGGACCGGTTCAGATAATCGTCACTGGTGTTGGCCGTGAGCGGGAATCGAACCCGGGTCGCCAGGTTCATAGCGCAGCGCGCTAACCGCTACACTACCGCTCCCCCCACACAGTGACACACACACAGTGACACACACACACACAATGGTGACACACGCAGTGACACACACAGTGACACACGCAGTGACACACACACAGTAGTGACACACGCAGTGACACACACGCAGTGACACACACGCAGTGACACACGCGCAGTGACACACACGCAGTGACACACAGTGGTGACACACGCAGTGACACATACACAGTGACACTCAAATACACACACAGTGACACACACAGTGACACACACAGTGACACTCAAGGACACACACACAGTGACACACACACACAGTGACACACACAGTGACACTCAAGGACACACACACACAGCGACACACACAGTGACACACTCAAGGACACACATACACACAGTGACACACACACACAGTGACACACACAGTGACACACACACACAGTGACACACACAGTGACACTCAAGGACACACACACACAGCGACACACACAGTGACACACTCAAGGACACACACACACACAGTGACACACACACACAGTGACACACACACAGTGACACACACAGTGACACTCAAGGACACACACACACAGCGACACACACAGTGACACACTCAAGGACACACACACAAAGTGACACACGCACAGTGACACACACAGTGACACACTCAAGGACACACACACACACAGAGCCGCGCACACACAGTGACACACACAGTGACACACTCAAGGACACACACACAGTGACACACACACACAGTGACACACACAGTGACACACTCCAGGACACACACACACACAGTGACACACACAGTGACACACACAGTGACACACTCAAGGACACACACACACACACAGAGCCGCGCACACACACGGACACACACAGTGACACACACACACACAGAGCCGCGCACACACACGGACACACACAGACACACACCCGCACCTACGATTATCACGGTTCAACGCAAGGAAAAAGACCGCCCGTGTAGCCTGAACAGACAAATGCTGTCAGCGAGCACCTATTAAGGCCAACACAGCACACGAGGGGGGTGGGGTGGCCAGCACACACACACACACACAGTGTGACGCACGCACACGCTCAGTGACACACGCACACACAGTGTGACGCACGCACACGCTCAGTGACACATGCACACGCTCAGTGACACACACTCAGTGACACACGCACACACTTAGTGACACACGCACACACAGTGTGACACACACACACAGTGTGACACACACACAGTGTGACACACGCACACGCTCAGTGACACACACTCAGTGACACACGCACACACTTAGTGACACACACACAGTGTGACACACACACACAGTGTGACACACGCACACACAGTGTGACGCACGCACACACTTAGTGACACACACACACACAGTGTGACACACACACACAGTGTGACACACGCACACACAGTGTGACGCACGCACACACTTAGTGACACACGCACACGCTCAGTGACACACGCACACTTAGTGACACACACACTTAGTGACACACACACACACACACACTTAGTGACACACACACACTTAGTGACACACGCACACGCTCAGTGACACACGCTCAGTGACACACACACAGTGTGACACTCGCACACGCAGGGATGACAGTTGCAGGCTACCGCACCACTCCGCATGACTGCGCAAGGACGCGTGAGCAGAGCGCTCAAATTCCTGCGCCATCAGCGCCGGTGACAGCCTCACCGCGCCACCTCCACGCCGCCTTCTGTGGGGCGTTTCCTCGTCACGGCGTGCGGTGCAGTGGGGGGCGCGGCTCGCGCACGCGCGCGTGGGGGGGGGGGCTGCCTTACGCGCCGCTGCCGCCGTCCGCGCGCGCCCCCCGCGAGGCCGCATCGTCCCCGGGGCCGGCGCGACGTCGTCCCCCGGGGCGCTCCCGGGCCGAGTCGGCGGCCCACGGCGCCGCCGCTCCTCCCCCTCCTCCCCTGGGCGCGACGTCACTGGCGCCGCTCCTCGCGTCGACGGAGTCGAGGCTCTCGGCGGGGTGGGGGGACCCCGGGAACCCCCAGCTCTCGTCCGACCGCCCCTCCTCCTCCCCGTCGACCTCCTCCTCGTCGTCCCCCCCCCCGTGCTCTCCCGGCCAGGGCCCGCCGGCGGCGCCGGCCCGGTCCAGCAGGCGGCGCAGGCGGGCGTTCTCCCGCGCCAGGCGCGCCACGCGGTCTCCCTGCTGGCACAGCGCGCTCACCAGCGCCGCACGCTCCGCGCACAGGCGCTCCTTCTCCTGCCGAAGCATCGACGTCGTCGTAATCATCGGCAGCGTCATAATCACCGTCATCATCAACATCGTCATTAGAATCAACATCGGCATCATCTTCATCATCATTCCACTTGTTTAAACAGGAGGGTCTCACCCCGAGTCTCGTGACCCCCTACACGGCAGGGTTTTGAAGACTATGTCTCTATGCAATTTGAAATTATTTCGCACCGTACGGAGCCAACCGTGCTAATAGGAGGAGTTTTAGTATTTTTGTATTTTATTTTATAGAATGGCATGTGCAAAACAGCGCACGACTTCTGTTTGTTGTCATGTGGGGGGAGGAATATTAAGAGGCCATTTGTCTTCTCTCGATGGGTGGTGATGGTGGTGGGTGGTGATGATGGTGACGGTGGTAGTGATGGTGGTGATGGTGGTGACGGTGGGGTGATGCGTAGAGATGGGAGGAAGGGGGAGACAGGGAGAGAAATAAGCAGAGAGGGAGAGGAGAGGGAGAGGGCGGGACACGGAGACACAGTGAGAGAGGACAGACAGAAAAGAGAAAGATGGAGCAGGAGAGAGATGCAGAGGGAGCAAGAGGGGCAGAGAGGGAGGGACATCTAAAGAGGAGAGAGAAGGGACGGGGAAACAACAGGGAGAGAGCGACGGGGAATGGAGAAGAGCAAAGGGAGGCAGAGAGGTAGACATGGAGAGAGGCCGAGGTAATCGATGGACAGAGAGAGGGGGGAGGGCACAGGGAGGGAGAGAGAACAGCGAGAGACAGTGAGCAGAGGGAATGAGTGTAGGGAGGACAGGAGGAGAGAGGAGCCAGGAGGAGAGTGCATGATTGTGCACGGCCGCAGGCACGAGCGATGCCAGATCCGCTGTGCGTTTCGTGCGGCGCCCGTAAGGGAGCTCACGGGCGGGTCGTGCCACTGCACTACCACGCCCCGCGCCACTGCGCCCCATGCCACCGCGCCCCGTGCCACCGTGCCACCGCGCCACCACACCCCGTGCCACCGCGCCACCGCGCCACCGCGCCCCGTGCCACCGCGCCACCGCGCCACCGCGCCCCGTGCCACCGTGCCACCGCGCCATCGCGCCCCGTGCCACTGCGCCCCGTGCCACCGCGCCACCGTGCCACCGCGCCACCGTGCCACCGTGCCACCGCGCCACCGTGCCACCGCGCCACCGTGCCACCGCGCCCCGTGCGCTCCGGCCGCTCCCACCTGGAGGAGCCTCTCACACCCGGCTCACCTGGCTCAGCTGCCGGAGCTCCTCCTCGCGCTCCGCCCGGGCCGCCAGGCCGGCCGCGGCGGCGCCGTCGGGCGCGCCCCCTCTCTCGGCCGTGCCGATGGACCTCCCGACGGCGCTCCAGAGCGCGCCGTCCGAGACCGCCGGGTCGGGGGCGGCGGTCGAGGGCGCCTTGCGGCACGGCCTCACGTCGCCCATGCTCACGCTGCGCAGGCTCTCCATGGAGCTGCTGTCGGTGCTGTGCGGCGCCACGCTGCCCGGCTCCGTCTCCCGCAGGCGGAGCCGCAGCGTCCGGTTCTCCGCGTCGACGCGCTGCAGCTCCAGCTGCAGCTGCCGCTTCTGCTCGGCGAGCCGGGCGCAGGCCTCCTCCTTGTCCCGCGCCTTCTCCGCGAACGCGGCCTCCAGCGCCTCCACCCTCTCGTCGTCGTCGTCGCGACTCCACGAGCCGTCGCTGCCCCGCGTCCTCCTCCTCCGCCGCCCCCCATTCCTCCTCTCGCCGTCCTCCTCGTCCTCCTCCTCCTCGTCCTCTACCTCCTCCTCTTCGTCCATTCGGACCGCCAACGACTCCGGCTCGTTCCGGCTGCCGGCGCGCCCGATCTTCCCCCCGAAGGCCACGGGGAACTGCTTGGCGCGCGCGTCCTCGAGCGCCGAGCGCAAGTTCTCGATCTCGTCGTCCTTGGCGTTGGACACCTCGAGCAGCTCCTTCACCTTGTCCTCCAGCGCCGCCCACTCGGCGATCTGGCTCTCCGAGCGCGACTTGCTCAAGCGGTTCTCGCGCAGGAAGCCGCCGCTGCCGCCGCTGCTACCGGTGCCGGTGCCGGTGCCGGTGCCGGTGCCGGTGCCGGTGCCGCCCCTCGCAACCGCCGCCGCGGCGGTTCCCGCGGCCGGGCGGTTAAAGCGCGCGCGAGTGTGCTTCCCCTCCGCGATTCCTCCGCCGCCGCCGCCGCCGCCCTGGGGCGGGCGCTTGAGGATTCCCAGGCGCAGGCGGTCGACCTTGGACCGGCCCGGCCGGGGCGGCGGTGGCGACAGCGACTCCTTGGAGTTGAGAGTCCCGCTGCGCTTGGACACCGGGCTCGGAGCTGTGGACAACACCAGGAAGGAAAATCAAGCATGAGTATGGGATTTTGTAGACGGTTTCTACGTGTTGGGCAACCCGTCGGTGATGTCCACCGGTAACTCCCACACCCCGCCCCCCCCCCCCCATTCTCCTCTACCCCTCCCCTCCCAGCCGCGGGTGTCCAGCCGTGACCTTCAAACTCTGCGAAGCCGTCTCTCGGTCTCCGCTCCGTAGCCAAGTTTCGTCTCTCGTATCTCATCAGCTGTCCTACTGACGGGTGCGGGCCCATTTCCCCAATTCCTCTCGACTGTTTCAGCTTTAGCAGCAGCAGCCGCAACAATGGTGACCCCCCCTCCCCCCCCCCCCCCCCCCCCCCCCCCCCCCCCCCCCCGGTTCTTCTCCAAAAGTTTTCGTTCCTGAACCGGTGTATTTGATGTTTTTTCACCGGGCAAGTCCCTACGAGCAACACAACTTGACACGAGAGTAGTGTTCACGTTGGATCACATTTTACGCGAGTAGCCGTGCCTCCTCCCCCTCCCCCCGCCGTACAGATGGACGCACAGCGGACGCGGGAAGAACGTAGGAGACATCCCCAGCGGCGCCTCGCGCTCCTCCTCCGCCACGGCAGCAGCCGATAAGATTGCCTCGAGCATCCCGTGAGAATTCGGGAGTGGCGAGTAGAAGCACGAATTCCCGCATCCATCTGTGTGGCGACGCGGTCTCACAGCTCCCAGTCGTGGACGAACACTGCAGCGCGGTTCACGATGGGTTTTTTATTTATTTTTTTCTTGGTAATTCCTTGGACATGGAACATGTCGTTTGCAAGGGCGTCTGGGTGATTCGTCCCGGTGGTGCGCTGCGTCTCAGCTGCGTGCGCTCCAGTTGTGCGCACTTCCGGCTGGCAGACCCCGTCCACTACGGCACGCGCCGGGTGCTCCCCGCACACCTCATTCCTACTCACATTCCTGCCTGCTGTTTGCTAACATACCTCGCTGATAAGCGCCACAGACACACACACACACAAACGTGCGTGCCAACTTGCATAGCTATGTGCCAACCAACGTGCCTGGCTACGTAACGACACGCCTCAGTAGGGACTCACACAATACCCACTACTCACACACCTGACGACCTATTCACAGGCCTAACTGTTTGCACACCTGACTCGCTGCTCACACACACATTTTCTCATATATCTATGTACGGACATACCTGAATGCTTACTCACACGCCTACCTACTGACACACCTGAATAACTAATCACACACCTAAATGATGACACACCTGGCTACCTATCTAACCTGCATACCTGCCTGCCCACTGACACACCTGTCCGTCTGTCTACACGCCTGCCTGTCTGTCTGCCTGTCTGCCCGGGGCGAGTGGTGTCCGTGTTGGAATGAGCCACCTCTACCTCCTCCATCTCCTCCTCCACTCTGCTCACGTGGAGGATTCGCTTCGAGATGCCATTCACGAACTTGCAGCCCGTGCTTCGTCGCTGCTTCGTCCGCGGTGGAACGGTGGCGCTACGGTTGGCGCGCCACGCTACGAAACACGGTGGACCGAGTTCGATTCCCGCTCACGGACAAAATCACCGACGAATATCCATACACCGGTCCTGGGCCTTCCCATAGGTTTACTCAACCCTGATAAGTTCCAGGTGCGGCGTTTAAATATCGGCGCTGGAGAGACAAAGGCGGCACGGCGTGTAGCTTGTCACGCCACACCCCTTCCTGGCGTCCAGGGCGTAAGAGGAGCTGGCCAATAAACTCGCGTTTTATCCTGCTGGCTAGAGTTTAAGCCATAACGAAACTAAAACGTGCACATCCAGGAACACAGAGGAACAGAGGAACACACGCTGCTGCATCACGGGGAGAGGGGACGGGACCCCCGCGTCCACGCAGCCTGGCGGTCCTCGCTCCGACCCCCCCCCACCTCACCCCCCCTCACCCCCCCCCCGTATCTAGGGCCCCGTGGCCCGCGGGACCAAACCGGGAGGACCGCTGGCACGGTTTTGTGAGAGCCCAGGGCCCCCCACGGGAGACACTTCCCAGAACGGGCTCGACTGGAAATTCCCGAATGCTGCTGGTGATGGTGGTGGTGGCGATGGTGGTGGTGATGTCGAGTCACAAGGAGCGGGTGCGCTTCAAGCCACACGAGACTCGCCACGCCCTCACCAGCTCCTATCAGCAACCGCGATGGTTGATGATGATGATGGTGGTACAGTAATGATGATGCCAATGATGGTGATAATAGTGGTAGTGATAACGATTGATGATATCGATGATGGTTGTGGTGATGATGGTGGTGGTGGTGATGATGATGGCGATGATTGTGGTGATGATCATGATGATGATGGTGGTGATGATGGTGATGATGATCATGATGGTGGTGCCACAAAAACGGGGCGGGCGCCTCGTCGTCACGGCATCTCTCGCCATCCCCACGCCATCCCCACTCACGAACCGCGCCTCCGTGGCCACAGACGGCAGCAGCAGCAGCCCCCCGTGCTGTGTATCAAATATGAAGCTGTGGCTTTGATAGACGGATCGGTTGTCTGTCTCACCGCGTACAGATAAACATCGTAATCCGCGGTGGCCTGATGATTCTCGTCTATGCGCTACGAGGGGGATCCCAGGACCGATTTAGGGCTCACTCAGAAACACTCACACACAGAGGCATACACACACACAGACAACACTCACACACAGAGGCACACACACACAGGGTCACACAGACAACACTCACACGTACAGGTCACACACACACAGAGGGTGACACACACACAGGGTCACACACACACACATAGGGTCACGTACACATAGGGTGACACACACACAGAGTCACATACACATAGGGTGATACATACACATAGGGTGACACACACACAGGGTCACACACATAGGGTCACACACATAGGGACACACACATAGTGTGACACACACACATAGGGTGACACACACACATAGTGTGACACACACACAGTGTGACACACACATAGGGTGACACACACACATAGGGTGACACACACACATAGGGTGACACACACACATAGGGTGACACACACACATAGGGTGACACACACACATAGGGTGACACACACACATAGGGTGACACACACACATAGGGTGACACACACACACACATAGGGTGACACACACACACATAGGGTCACTCGAACTCACCTCGCGCATGGCTCCCGCTGGTCCCCATGGTCCCCCGCAAGCGCTCAGCAGCTGTACGAGTGTCGACTACCTCCTCCTGCTGCTGCTGCTGTCGCTCCTCGCACTCCTCGCGGCAGCTTCCCCTGTGAGCCACCAGCCCGGCCTGGCTCCCCGAAGCCACGACACCATGGCCGCCTCTACTCGCTCCCTGTCGTGCTCCCTCGCTCTCTCTCCCCGCGACGCGGAACGCGGCTCAGCGGGTTTCGTCTCAAGAGTGACTTCGTGTCTCCTCCTCCCCTTCCTCCTCCACCCTGCACCTCATCTCCGTCCCTCCCATCGTCTTTCGACTCCTCCTCCTCCGTCTCTCTCTCGACTCCTCTCCAGCCCGCACATCTCCTCCCTCCTCCACCATCCCTGACCGAGGCTGTCCCACGCGGTTGTCTGAGAAGTGAGCGGGGGGGGGGGGGGGTCGTGGCAGGGGACAAATCCAGACCTGGGGGTACGGACCCCCCCCCCCCCCCATCACCAAATTCCACTTCTCTCGCCTCCTTCTCAACAAAGTTCCACAGCCAACCCCCTTCACGTGCACCTGCTGGTGACGTGACGGGGCGGTGGGCGGGGCTTCCGCGCCAGGTGCTGTCCGACACGAGGCCGGGACTCCCCCTGCTGATACTCATGCTGCTGCTGATGATGGGGGTTCTTGTTCTTCTGATACTGCTCCTGATGATGGGGGTTCTTCTTCTTCTGATACTGCTGCTGATGATGGGGGTTCTTCTTCTTCTGATGCTGCTCCTGATTATGGGGGTTCTTCTGATGCTGCTGCTGATGATAGGGGTTCTTCTTCTTCTGATACTGCTCCTGATGATGGGGGTTCTTCTTCTTCTGATACTGCTCCTGATGATGGGGGTTCTTCTTCTTCTGATACTGCTCCTGATGATGGAGGTTCTTCTTCTTCTGATGCTGCTGCTCCTGATTATGGGGGTTCTTCTTCTGATGCTGCTCCTGATGATGGGGGTTCTTCTTCTTCTGATAGTGCTTCTGATGATGGAGGTTCTTCTTCTTCTGATGCTGCTCCTGATGATGGGGGTTCTTCTTCTTCTGATAGTGCTTCTGATGATGGGGGTTCTTCTTCTTCTGATGCTGCTCCTGATGATGGGGGGTTCTTCTTCTTCTGATGCTGCTGCTCCTGATTATGGGGGTTCTTCTTCTTCTGATGCTGCTGCTCCTGATGATGGGGGTTCTTCTTCTGATGCTGCTCCTGATGGGGGTTCTTCTTCTTCTGATGCTGCTCCTGATGATGGGGGTTCTTCTTCTGATGCTGCTGCTGATGATGGGGGTTCTTCTTCTTCTGGTGCTGCTGCTGATGATGATGGGGGTTCTTCTTCTTCTGATGCTGCTCCTGATGATGGAGGTTCTCCTTCTTCTTCTTCTGATGCTGCTCCTGATGATGGGGGTTCTTCTTCTTCTGATGCTGCTCCTGATGGTGGGGGTTCGTCTTCTTCTGATACTGCTCCTGATGATGGGGGTTCTTCTTATTCTGGTGCTGCTGCTGATGATGATGGGGGTTCTTCTTCTTCTGATGCTGCTCCTGATGATGGGGGTTCTTCTTCTTCTGATGCTGCTCCTGATGATGGGGGTTCTTCTTCTTCTGCTGCTGCTCCTGATGATGGGGGTTCTTCTTCTGATGCTGCTCCTGATGATGGGGGTTCTTCTTCTTCTGATGCTGCTCCTGATGATGGGGGTTCTTCTTCTTCTGGTGCTGCTGCTGATGATGATGGGGGTTCTTCTTCTTCTGGTGCTGCTGCTGCTGCTGATAATGAATCTGCTGTTGCTACTAACGCTGCTACGTCTAACACTCCTGCTGCGGCTGCAGGGCGCGGGGCCACCAGTGGACTCCGCAACTCGGCAGGTTCCTCCCCCGGGTCTGGGGTCACACCCAGGGCCGCCACGGCGGTCATTGAAATCCGCGGCTCCAGCGCGCAGCCTCGCTGAAGCCGCGGATTTCTGTGCTTGCTTTCTTGTGTCCATCATTTGTATGGCACAGATTTAATATATTGTCATATCATTGTAAGACAAACAGACCACACTGAACTGGAACAGACAAGAGACGCAACGTACACAACAATACAACCGAGACAAAGGGTGGAACGAGACCAACAATAGAAACGAGACGGACCACAGCGAACAGGAAGAGACGAGACAGACGGTACACGCGAGACGGCAACACTGGCGGGCCAGGACAAACTAGATAGACAATATAGGCCGGACAAGACGGACAGTAGCAAGAAGACAAACAGTTACAGCCCTCTGCAGAGTACGAGCCGAGCCGGGTGAATTCTCCATCAGACATCGTGGTTCGGGATCGTGCCGTCTTCTATCTCGCTGGGACCCTCGCTGAGCGAGTGTGTGTGTCTGTGGGTGTGTAGGTGGGTGGGTGTGTGTAGGTGTGTGTGTAGGTGTGTGGGTGTGTGTGTGTGTAGGTGGGTGTGTGTGGGTGGGTGTGTGTGTGTAGGTGTGTGGGTGTGTGTGTCTGTGGGTGTGTAGGTGTGTGGGTGTGTGTATGTGAGTGGGTGTGTGTGTGGGTGGGTGTGGGTATGTGTGTGTCTGTGGGTGTGTGTGTGTGAGTGGGTGGGTGTAAGTGGGTGTGTGTGGGTGTAGGTGGGTGTGTGTGGGTGTGTGTGTGTGTGGATGGGTGTGGATGGGTGTGTGTGGGGGTGTGTGGGGGTGTGTGTGTGGGTGTGGATGTGTGTGTGTGGGTGTGGATTGGTTGTGTGTGTGTGTGTGGTTGTGTGTGTGTGGTTGTGTGTGTGTGGGTGTGTGTGTGTGTGTCTGTGGGTGTGTCTGTGGGTTTCACCACGCCGAGGCCGCGCTCTTCACTGGGGGACTCCAGACGCCGCGGGGGGGCTACGTGGGGCTAGGGGAAGGGGCGGGGGGCTACGGGGGTCTGTGGGAGGGGCGAGGGGGGCTACGGGGGACTATGGGGACGGGTGGGGGGCTACGAGGGACTATGGGGGGGGGGCTACGGGGAACTATGGGGAGGGGCGGGGGACTATGGGGAGGGGCGGGGGACTATGGGGAGGGGCGGGGGGCTACAGGGGACTATGGAGAGGGGTGGGGGGCTACAGGGGACTATGGGGAGGGGTGGGGGCTACAGGGGACTATGGGGAGGGGCGGGGGGCTACGGGGGACTATGGGGAGGGGCGGGGGGCTAAGGGAAGGGGCGGGGGGCTACAGGGGACTATGGAGAGGGGTGGGGGGCTACAGGGGACTATGGAGAGGGGTGGGGGGCTACAGGGGACTATGGGGAGGGGTGGGGGGCTACAGGGGACTATGGGGAGGGGTGGGGGGCTACAGGGGACTATGGGGAGGGGTGGGGGGCTACAGGGGACTATGGGGAGGGGTGGGGGGCTACAGGGGACTATGGAGAGGGGTGGGGGGCTACAGGGGACTATGGGGAGGGGTGGGGGGCTACAGGGGACTATGGGGAGGGGTGGGGGCTACGGGGGGCTAGGGGAAGTGGCGGGGGGGGGGCTACGAGGGACTATGGGGAGGGGCGGGGGGGGCTAGGAGGAGAGGCGGGGGCAGTTCACCTCGGGCCATCTCCAATCACCAGGGGTCAACCGGGACTCACGGGGTTGTCACAGGTCAATAGGGTGACACGGGGTCAACACGGGTCAACTCGGGTCAACACGGGTCAACACGGGTTATCTGAATCCACCCCCGGGTAGCAGGGGTCATCACGGGTCATTCGGGCATCACGGGTCGCGCCTGTCATTGACGCCCCCTTACACCCTGCACCCCCACCCCCACTCCCATCATCATCAGCAGCAGCAGCAGCCGTGGTCAATCCACTTCTGGATGAATGCCTCTTAAATCATCCGCCGTATCTCACGATCCTGCCATCTAAAAACAAATCCATCGCGCCCCTACACACGAGGCAAACTCCATCGCCCCATCTCCTCCTCGGTGTTGCGTCTCTCCCGGGACCCGTGTCCCATCCCCCCAGCGGTGGAATGGGGGGGGGGGGCACCGAGCCCCCAACTCGTGTTGGCCTCGTGCAGTGGGGGGGGCGGGAGGTGTTGGGGGGGGGCGGGAGGGGTTAGGGGGCCCGGATATCTCCGTGAGCTCATTTCCCGCACGGGAGCTGTTGTGGTGGTCGCGACTCCTCGCGATGCTGGACGTGTTTATTTTCTTATCGATTATAATTTTAGCTGCTTTTGGCGCGTTCTTACAGTAGTTTTTTTTTTCTCCAAGAGTCTGCTCGGTAACAAAAAGGGTATTATAATAATAATAATAGTAATCTCGTGTAGAGTATTTACCCAACAGCTCGTCAACGAGTCTCAAGACTCCTCCCAAGAGGGTCCCTGCCGCATTGGGATGTTTGGTCGAGTCTCTGGGCGACTCTTTCACTCGCAGCGGTTGCCACGCACGCCGCCGATTAACAACACTGAGTCGGGACGCCAAACACGGGACGAGGATTCCAACCGACTATGGCTTTGGGAAATCGATCTGATGAACAACACGCATCTCACTCACAACCGATTATAACCCACGACTAATCCACTGCTGTATGAAGGCCTTCCCAATGTCAGAATTCATCCTTCACACGAGCCGATTCCGTCGCTCCATCTCCGCGGGAGACTTCCCCTCGAACGCAACCCCACCGCTGCCTGCCCCTCGGTAGTCGCCGTCTTCAGCCTGCCTGCCATCTCATCCACACGCCGCTCCTCCTACTCCTGCTCCTCAATGACCGTCCAAGCCTCTCATCTCTCCCCGCTTCTTTGCGCCCGTTTGTGTGCGCGCACAGGAAGCTTCATAGCTCATCGGATTCCTCCCAGTCTAAACAAAGATCGTGAAAGATTCTGTATCTCAAGAGCATTTACTCCTGGCACGCCTCGGCCTAGAGTCCGCCACATGCTCATCTCTCGTAGCCGCCACACTCAGGGACCCCGTGCCGCGGGCCGTGCCGCACGAGTGTGAAGCTTTATTCGCCAAAACAATACACGTATTTATTTATTTTGTTTATTTATTGTCGACTCTAAAGTTAGGTGGGAGCGCCTGTCACGGTGCTTACCAACGGCTGCCTTGGCTCTGGCGTCCTCGACCTCTCGGTGATTGTCTCTCTCGGGCCCAGAGATCACCTCGGCACCACCGCCACCACCACCAGCAGCAGCAGCAGCACCATCAGCACCACCAGCAGCAGCAGCAGCACCATCAGCAGCAAGAGCGACTGCTGTTGTCAGCAAGTTCTCCTCGCTCTTGCTCCGTGCCTGGGGTGAGGTTCGGTGTGGTTGTGGTGAGCGCCGTGTGGTGAGAAGGTGTTGAGTGGTGAGAAGGTGTTGAGTGGTGAGTGCAGCGTGGCGAGCGCGCTGTGATGATGAGAACGGAGCGATGAACAGGTGTCGAGAGGTGAGCGCTGTGTGGTGAGCAGGAGTTGAGTGGTGAGCGCGGTGCGGTGAGCAGGAGTTGAGTGGTGAGCGCGGCCACCCTTACCTGTACAGGTGAGTGCCACCCGCGTCTGTGTCTAAACCACAGCGTTAGAACCGCGCTCTCCACTCATCTCGAGCCGCCTTGAATCGATCTGATATTGACGCAGGTTACGAGCGGATCCGTTACGAAGCGCGACACGCGCCCGCCGATTGGCCAAGGCGGAACGCTTCACGGCCGTGGCCGCACGGTACGGCCGCGACCCCCTCGTGTGGGCTCGCCCCTAATCCGCGGGGCCCACGTTGCGGGCCCGTGACCGCGTTCCTGCTCCAGCAGGTTCCGAACTGGCCAGGGCCTGCGCGCAACCGGCGGAAAGCCCCGGACCTGGGGCCGCGGTGCCAGGCCGAGGATGACTCACGCCGAGCGAGGCTGCGGCTGCCAAAAGCAACGCTGAGCGGTGGGCTGGCGGCGGCGGCGGCGGCCTCGGGACCACACCGATGGAGCTGCTGCGGCTGCTGCGGAAACTCCTGCGCCTGTTTGGGCTTTGGCGCAAAACAAACGCCCCTCGGCTAAATGAACGAATCGATCACCTGGGAGAGGTGGAGACCCCGTCAGTTGCTCGCCCGTCCACAACCTCCCGGAGCGGTAGCCTCTACAACTGGGGACCCCTCTCCCTGGCAGTGGGGCCCCGGGATCAGATAAGCGGGCTTCATGCGGCACTGCCGGCAAGGAATGCGGTGTGCACATACCTCGCTGATACCTGCACCCCCCCCCCCCCTCCTCGTGAGTGAGCCTCGCCTCGAGTCTATTGATGTTATTTGCGATGTTATTTGCGATGTCGCGGCGTTGGGTAATGAGGCGTCTAGCGAGGCGTTTTGTTTTGTGCGGCGAGAGAGATGCTGTGAGAGATGAGACGGCGCTTTGTAACAACAGAGAAGTTATTTTGCGACATTTTTTTCGTGAGCTGTGTTTCGAAAATTCGGAATATTTGCGGAAGATGTTTGTTTGCGAGGGAACGCAGCAGGCACGGCATGGAGACACGAGGGGAGAGTTCGGGGTTGGGTGCTCGCAGCTGCGGTCCACGAGGACGTTACAGGCGTCCGATCCGCTCGTCATTCACGCGCTTTGCCACGTCAAGCTTGATCCACTGCTGGCTGAAGGTGGCGGCCCTCCTCCTCACGCCGGGTCAGGCACGTTTGACCAAACCTCGGCACGCACGAGCCGGGTCGGTGTGCGGGCGACTTAAAACTTCTCCAACTGAAGCATCCTCGTGCATGGTGCTTCGTCTACACGAGCACTCAGATAGCGTCGTGCGCTTGGACACACAGTTGCCGAGCGCAGGCTGTTGTTGTTGTTGTGGTTGTTGTGGCTGTTGTTGTGGTTATAGTTGTTGTGGTTGTTGTTGTGATTGTTGTGATGGTGGTTGTTGTAGTTGTTGTGGTTCTTGTTGTGGTGATCATTGTTGTGGTTATTGTTGTGGTCATTGTTGTGGTCATTGTTGTGGTGGTTGTTGTGATTGTTCTTGTTGTGGTCGCTGTTGTGGTTGATGATGATGATGCACGCGGCCCGGTAGCCCTCACCTTGGGCAGCACGGACGCGTGCATCAGGAGGAGACTGCCGATGGCCTGAGCCGAGCGGGACGCCTTCATCCCCTTGGTCAGGGGGGCCCCGACCGCGCCCCCCCTCGCCCCCCCACCCGGCGCGGGGGCCCTCACCAGGTGAGGTATTCCCGTGCCAGGGGCCTTGAGAGGTCGCCACGAAGGCGGCGCCACGTGGCCCGCGAGGGATGGAGGGGGGCCCCTCTGTTGGGGCTGCGAGGCCGGTATGGCCCTGCCGCCCCTGGCGCCCGGGAGAGGAGGAGGCGGATGGGCGGCACTGCAGGAGTCCGCGGCGGCCGCCGAGCGCGGATTCGCGAGGTTCGACACCCGGGCACGGGCGCAGGGCTGCGCGGGGCCCGGCATCGAGGTGGCAGCGGCAACTTTGACCCCCTTCTTCTTCGTCGTCGTCATCATCACCGTCGAGCCCCAGTCACGGTCCCGTCCGTCTCCAGCTGTCAAAGAGAAGGCGGCCGCATTGCACGCGAGATGATGGCTCGGGGAGTCATGAGCGGCCAGCCTCGTGTGCCCCTCTCGAATGGGGAGCCGAATTTCGCGAAGTCGTGGCAGCTGGTGGCTGAATGTTGTTGTTGTTGGGTCGGGGGGGGGGGCAGCATCTGATGACAACGGAACCAAATCTAACAGGCAGCGTGCCAGGGGACTGGGCCGAGATATGCGTGCTTGAGAGACAGCATAGCGAGGGTGAGGAGAGAGCACGAGACGTGCGACTGAGGGCACCGCATTGAAGGGACGTGAACGGGATTTTGGGCAGGGCACGTCGCTGAGACGGAGGGAAGTTGATGGGCGATGGGCAAGACTGGTGTCGCAGTGACAGTATATATATAGACTGTATATATACAGTCTATATATACACTTCACATACAGTCTATATAGACTGTGTACACAGACGCCTCCGTGTATGCGCGCGCACGTGTCCAGCGGTGTCCGCGCAGCGTCTTCGATGAGACGCGCCGTGTCGCGCTGCACCGCCACCACCGCCGCGCGTCCGCCAGGGGGCGCCAGCTGAACGCGAACCTCGCGTGACCAGAGCTCCCCACGAGCCATGGACCGCGGCGAATAACAATTTAGTCATATTGGGAAGAATGCATACCCGTGGCAACCCATACGGTTTAGCCGTATTCCTGTACAGGGGAATTGCGTTTTCAGGCCCATACGGCGCACGGACGTTGCAATACGGGCAAAAAACCCCATCTATTTTAGTTTCTTCCCTGGGATGGGATGAATGTTGAGATTTCTAAGAGCACGGGGTGATCATTACTGATAAGGGGTTTCCAGGTATGAGAATGTCCTTTATTTACCCAGACTTTTTCTTTTTTACTCAAGAGGGTCCTGCTACGTTGCAATAATTGGCCAATTCCATTCTGGATGATGAACGTCTGGCTTCGTGTGGACGCAGGAAACTGGAGTAGCCGGAGAAAATCCACCATGCATACAAGGGGCTAACTATTGAAAGCTCCGCATAGATACATTTAACAACCAATTGATGTCCTTTCATTGCCTGATCATCTCTCAGCTCAAGAATTCAGAGACACCGCGAGATGAAAACACTGCGAGATGAAGACACCACGTGATGAAGACACCGCGCGATGAAGACACCACGTGATGAAGACACCACGTGATGAAGACACCACGTGATGAAGACACCGCGAGATGAAGACACCACGTGATGAAGACACCACGTGATGAAGACACCGCGAGATGAAGACACCACGTGATGAAGACACCGCGAGATGAAGACACCACGAGATGAAGACTCGGACACTGCGTGATGAAGACACCGCGTGATGAAGACACCGCGTGATGAAGACACCGCGTGATGAAGACACCGCGTGATGAAGACACCGCGCGATGAAGACACCGCGCGATGAAGACACCGCGTGATGAAGACACCGTGAGATGAAGACACGGCGAGATGAAGACACCACGTGATGAAGACACCGCGTGATGAAGACACCGCGTGATGAAGACACCGCGTGATGAAGACACCGCGTGATGAAGACACCGCGTGATGAAGACACCGCGTGATGAAGACACCGCCAGATGAAGACACCGCGTGATGAAGACACCACGTGATGAAGACACCACGTGATGAAGACACCGCGAGATGGAGACATCACGTGATGAAGACACCGCGTGATGAAGACACCGCGCGATGAAGACACCGCGTGATGAAGACACCGCGTGATGAAGACACCGTGAGATGAAGACATAACGTGATGAAGACATAACGTGATGAAGACACCGCGTGATGAAGACACCGCGTGATGAAGACACCGCGAGATGAAGACACCGCGTGATGAAGACACTGCGTGATGAAGACACCGCGTGATGAAGACACCGCCTGATGAAGACACCGCGTGATGAAGACACCGCGTGATGAAGACACCGCGTGATGAAGACACCGCGAGATGAAGACACCGCGTGATGAAGACATCGCGTGATGAAGACATCGCGTGATGAAGACACCGCGAGATGAAGACACCGCGTGATGAAGACACCGCGTGATGAAGACACCGCGCGATGAAGACACCGCGAGATGAAGACACCGCGAGATGAAGACACCGCGAGATGAAGACACCACGTGATGAAGACACCGCGTGATGAAGACACCGCGAGATGAAGACACCACGTGATGAAGACACCGCGAGATGAAGACACCACGTGATGAAGACACCGCGAGATGAAGACACCACGTGATGAAGACACCGCGAGATGAAGACACCGCGTGATGAAGACACCGCGTGATGAAGACACCGCGTGATGAAGACACCGCGTGATGAAGACACCGCGTGATGAAAACACCGCGTGATGAAGACACCGCGTGATGAAGACACCACGTGATGAAGACACCGCGCGATGAAGACACCGTGAGATTAAGACACCGCGTGATGAAGACACCGCGTGATGAAGACACCGCGTTATGAAGACACCGCGTGATGAAGACACCACGTGATGAAGACACCGCGTGATGAAGACACGACGTGATGAAGACACCGCGTGATGAAGACACCGTGAGATTAAGACACCGCGAGATGAAGATACCGCGTGATGAAGACACCGCGAGATGAAGACACCGCGTGATGAAGACACCGCAATGCTCAGCCGAATGATTGCCCGGCTGGGACTCCCACGGGGCTCACCCGAGGATGACCCTCACCTCATCTCGAGGCGGAGAGGCGCTGAAACGGCCTCCAACGAGGTCATTGTTTATCCCTCGACATCAGAGATCTCACCAGTGATGCACGCTGTCGCTGACGACAATGATGATGCCGCTAGCAGCGGTGACCATGACTGTCGTGGTGTTGGTAGTGGTGTTTAACAGTGCTGGTTACCAGCGGTGATGGGTGCTGCTGGCGGTGGTGGTGGTAATGGTTTTGGTGATAGTCATGGTGATGATTGTAAGTTTATTTTCATCGCCCTAGCGATTTTTATGAGATAAGTGACAGCATCGTCGTGAGTCGCGGTAGTAATTGTGATGTTAGGTGAATGGTCGTAGTGATGTTTGCGGTGATGTTGATGGTAATGTTCGGGTGATGGTGGTGATGATCACGATGATGAGAGATTGTGATGTTCGCGATTATGTAGATATTTTCGGTGGTGGTGATGTTCGTGGTGATGGTGATGATGGTGTTAGTGGTGATGGTATTAGTGGTGATGATGGTGGTGTTAGTGGTGATGTTAGTGGTGATGTTAGTGGTGATGTTAGTGGTGATGATGCTGGTGATGTTAGTGGTGATGGTGATGTTAGTGGTGATGGTGATGTTAGTGGTGATGGTGATGTTAGTGATGATGGTGGTGTTAGTGATGATGGTGATGTTAGTGATGATGGTGATGTTAGTGGTGATGATGCTGGTGATGGTGATGTTAGTGGTGATAGTGATGTTAGTGGTGATGGTGCACAGAGGATGTTGCGAGCGCGCGGCTCCCACGCGCTCGCAGCATCAGCAGCAGAGACTCGCGCCTCGATTGGCTGCCTCCTGGTTACCTGGGCAACGCTCCATGGCAACCAGGGGATGACTGGTGCAGACTGCAAATTCACGAGTAGCACCTCCAGTACACGCGCACACTCCAAAACACACGCACTCATAAACACACTCCAAACACACACACTCCAAACAACAACAACAACCGCCATTCGCCACTAAGTGGCGGTGACGACACCACGGCGCTTGTGCCAGGCTATGTGCACCTTGAGGCCACGTGAAGTGTCGAACGCCCGCTGGCAGGAGGGCACGGGGCAGACCCAGGTGCCACGGGTCGACTGACTGAGATGAGTGGCTGATGCACCACCTGTGCCCCCTACTGGGCCAACTTGCTATGCTTTAGCCACCCGGCGCTCCGCTCGTTGTTGTGAGCGTCGCTCCTCTGCCCTCCGTTGTTGCTGAAGGGCGACTGCCTCCAACTGCCCAGCAGCGTCCTTCACGAGCCTCCTCCACAGAGGCCGATCTTGACACCGCTGGTACCAGTCATCGGCAAGTCCACTCAGCTCCACGTCCTCCTGTACCACATCACTCCATCTCTTCTCTAGCCCGTGCCGCGCCCGTTTAGCTCCCTAGATCCGGCCGAACAAAAGCTGTTTCGGCATGCGGTGGCAGGGCATGAGAGCTACATGACCCAGCCAACGCAGCCTTGCCTGCTGGAGGAGCTCACCGATGGGACTTTGCCCACATCTTTCAAAGATTTGTGAGCTCCTCACACAATTCAGCCTGGTTAAACCCAGCATGGATCGTAGGCAGGCCAGCCTAAATGTTTCCAATCGGCGAAGATGTTCCATTAGAGGGGGTCCACGTTACGCAAGCGTAGAGAAGGGAGGGAATGACCGTGGCCGAGAAGACCTGAAGCTTCGTGCGGAGCGACAGACCAGGTAGCTTCCGCACAGCGTTACGCAACCGATGAAAAGATAATGCCGCTGGACTGATTCTGAGTGAGACCTCTGCTGTCAAACCAGAGCCGGTCATGAGCACACTGCCCAGGTATGGGAAACTCTCCACTGTCTCCACAACCTCCCCATCACCGATTTGGAGTTGTGGGGGGTGGAGTTTCCGATGGTACAAAACACCCAGGCAGGTGCTTAGTTTTGGTGAGGCTGATGGTAAGGCCCCATCTCTTAGTGGCACGCTCCAGTTTCAGCAGCAGCACCTCCAACTCCTCCTCTGACTGAGCGGCAATTACCAAATCATCGGCATACATAACGTGGTTGACCAATAGGGAGCCATCCCTTGACCGCACCCGGGCATCGATCAGCCTCCAATTATACCTGTACCAGATTGAAATTCCTCTGGTACAGCCATCAAACGCTTCACGAACTACGTGGTCGAAAAATATGTTAAATAAAGTGGGAGCCAGAGGACATCCCTGTCGCACCCCAAGGTGTACAGGGAATGGCTCTGACTCCCGGCCACGTAGTTTTACCCGGGCCCGCTCACCATAATCAAGGTCCTTAATTATCTTGAGCAGCGGGCCAGGGACTCCGAAAGCACGAAGAACAACCCAAAGCCCAGGCCTACTCTTACACACACTCCAAACACACGCACTCATACCCACACTCCAAACACACACACTCATACACACTCACTCCAACACACACTCCAAACACACTCACTCATACACACACTCAAAATACGTGCACCCACACACAAAGACAAAGATCCCCCGTATAAAATTTAACTCTGTTGGGACAAGTGCTGTTGGCGACCACCTATGAAGGCCGGAACGATACACAAAGTATGTGGATGGCCAGCACCACTCCCGACCGCCTTTGTCTCCCCACACCAGGTACTCATTTGAGGCCGAGTCGACCGAGGGGAGGCCCAGGACCGGTTCAAATAATCGTCACTGATGTTGGTGGCCTTGAGCGGGAATCGAACTCTGGTCGCAAGGTCTATAGCGGGGCTCGCCAGAACTCATCACACCCAGATACTCACACACGCACTCCAAACACTCCCAGATACTCACACACGCACTGCAAACACTCCCAGATACTCACACGCACTCCAAACACTCCCAGACACTCACACACACACTGCAAACACTCCCAGACACTCACACACGCACTCCAAACACTCCCAGATACTCACACACGCACTCCAAACACTCCCAGATACTCACACACATTCCAAAAACACCCATATACTCACACACGCACTCCAAACACACCCAGATACTCAAACACTCCAAACACACCCAGATACTCACACACGCACTCCAAAGACTCCCAGACACTCACACACGCACTCCAAACACACCCAGACACTCACACACGCACTCCAAACACACCCAGATACTCACACACGCACTCCAAACACACCCAGACACTCACACACGCACTCCAAACACACCCAGACACTCACACACGCACTCCAAACACACCCAGATACTCACACGCACTCCAAACACACCCAGATACTCACACACGCACTCCAAAGACTCCCAGACACTCACACACGAACTCCAAACACTCCCAGATACTCACACACGAACTCCAAACACTCCCAGATACTCACACACGCACTCCAAACACTCCCAGATACTCACACACGCACTCCAAACACACCCAGACACTCACACACGCACTCCAAACACACCCAGATACTCACACACGCACTCCAAACACACCCAGACACTCACACACGCACTCCAAACACACCCAGACACTCACACACGCACTCCAAACACACCCAGATACTCACACGCACTCCAAACACACCCAGATACTCACACACGCACTCCAAAGACTCCCAGACACTCACACACGAACTCCAAACACTCCCAGATACTCACACACGAACTCCAAACACTCCCAGATACTCACACACGCACTCCAAACACTCCCAGATACTCACACACGCACTCCAAACACTCCCAGATACTCACACACGCACTCCAAACACTCCCAGATACTCACACACGAACTCCAAACACTCCCAGATACTCACACACAAACTCCAAACACAGCCAGATACTCACACACGCACTCCAAACACTCCCAGATACTCACACACGAACTCCAAACACTCCCAGATACTCACACACGCACTCCAAACACTCCCAGATACTCACACACACACTCCAAACACTCCCAGATACTCACACACGCACTCCAAACACTCCCAGATACAAACACTCCCAGACACTCACACACGCACTCCAAACACTCCCAGATACTCACACACGCACTCCAAACACTCCCAGATACTCACACACGCACTCCAAACACAGCCAATCACACGCACACAACACACAGACATAGATGTGTAGACACACACGTGCGCGTGTGCGCGCGCGCGCCAAGAACTCTCTCGTGCAAAGAACGCGCCCCCCGATCCCGCCGCGCTCCCTCCCACAGAAATACCCGCACCAGAAATAGACCTCGAGACCCACCACCACGCGCGTGCGTGCGCGCGCCCGGCACACGGGCACGTTCCAGCGGTCACTCGCGAGCTCGGGAAACACGGATCCATCCACCAGTGCCCACTCAGCACGGGCACAGACAATGACACAGACCTCCACCTCCCCCCAAGACCCCCCGTGTAGCCTGTAAGAGACCGTAGGGGCAAGTGCTGTTAGCGAGGAGCACCCATGAAGGCCGGAACGACGCACGAGGGGGTGGGTGGCCAGCACCACGCCCGACCGCCTTTGTCTCCCCAGTGGCGATGTTTACACACCGCACCAGGTACTCATTTCAGGCTGAGTCGACCTATAGGAGGCCCAGGACCGGTTCAGATATTCGTCACTGCTGTTGTCCGTGAGCGGGAATCGAACCCGGGTCGTCAGGTTCATAGCGCTCCACTACCGCTCCCCACTTCACGTGAATCGGGAACACGTGACTCACGCGGGCTAATTTTGAGTCTCAAAGTGCGGATTTAAGTCGGGCACGAAAGGAATCGAAAGGAATCGAGTCTTGCCCGATTATTGGACGCACTCTGGAGGCTAAGTTTTACGGAACAAATTGGAGGCGTTCCTCACAATCCGGTCTGGCGCGAAGCTCAAGCCCAGGGGAGACCTGGGATGGATCGCGAGCTGCGAAGGGGAGGAGTTTGGCGAAGAAAGCTTCATTCAAGATGGGACCTCTCTTGCCAGTGTCAAAATATAAGAATTGGGTTTACCCTTTCTGGCAATAAAACAGGTTTTGTGTTAAGATGTTAAAATACCACACAGAAACCTTTCGCAAGGAATCATGTCACTGCATTAACCACACATACTTGTGGTGCACATGCAAACAAAAACACGCTCTGGTAGTCTATGATGATGCATTGTCTTTGAAACTGATTGGTCCACACCAGAGACAGCTTTCTTTAGAGCCACATCTCAAACGGCGTTAGACCAGAGGACGCCACAAGGCGAACAGCACAAAAACAATGCCACTATCAGAGACATTGAGGGCTCGGGGTGAACAATTACAATATGGGACCTCTCTTGCCAGTATCAAAATATAAGACAACAGGTTTTGTGTTAAGATGTTAAAACGCCAAACACAAGTGCCGTGCGGTTAATGCAGACAGGATTCCTTGCAAAATGTTTCTGTTTGGTATTTGAACATCTAACACAACTGTTGTATTGCCAGAAAGGTTAAAACCGATTCTTACAGAACTTCATTGGCTGTGAAAAGGGAAGACCCGTGAGGCGGTGCCAGCCTGCAGCTGTACGTCGGATGTGTCGGAGGTAGCCTGCGGTGAATAGAGTGAGACGACCAGGGGCAGGATGAGGGCAGTGATTGG